TGTCTTCTGCAACATTTTTTTCATTGTATATTAAATCATTGCTCAAATTGTGCATTATTGTATCATCTGGCTTGGATGTGTTCTGGGACTTTAGAAAGTCACTAGGAAAAGGGCTGGGGCATTTCTTAGGATGAGAACAAGATGCAATATCATTTTCATTCTTCGGTAATGAGGATGAGGCTGGCATTGGAAGGTTCCCCATTTTGCATAAAGGACTGTTGACTTCAGCAATATTGAGTGCTGCTTTTGCTGAATCTTCTAATGAAGATAAATGATATTTTTCAGAAGCAGCCCCAGGACTATCCATTACATTGTGGCTTTCATGGCTAAGCAGTTCTTTTACGAGGCTTTGAGAGCTATGCCAGTCACTCAAGCTCACCCTTTCCTTGTTAGTGTTGTTTTCTGAACATGTATTTTCATCGACTGAGCAGGGTTTGGCTTTGCTATTTTCTATTGCTACGATAGATCTGGATTTCTTCATAGTATTGGACAAGGAAGAATAATGTTTTTCAAATTCATTGCAAATATCATTTCCTTTTACAGTATTATCTCTGTCCTTTGAAGTGAGGGCTTGATCTGAGTTATTTGAAAAGTTTAGCCTACTGTTATCCTGGTAATTTTGTTGGCTCGTAGGCTGCAGGGGCAAATTCTTACTTTCTAGCTGGCAGTCAGACAAGTTTTGATCTCCTTGTTGTGCTTTATGATCATTATTTGTCATACATTTTGGAAATAGTTCTTTATCAGGCAGTTTTTCTCCGTCCTGAATTCCATCAGAAAATCTGCTTCCAAAATCTTCTTTATTCTTCCAACCGAGAGACATTTTGTCTACAGCTGCAGGTTCAACACTTGATTGTTGGTTTTTGATTGACGGCTCGGTGTTACATGATGCCTGAGTTACAGGAGAGTGAAACGGTAGAGTATTTTCCAACACTTTCTGTTTAGAGAAACATTTTTTGGCTGGCAAAGGGAGGAAGATCTTTTACAGATGCTGTTAATTCTATTTCTGTCTCTTTTGACCTACACAAGCCTTCTGGCATGGCAGAAATCTCATCTTCTTTAGTTTCCTGGTGGCCGAGTGCACCGACTTCTTTAGTAGGGTAGGTGATATTGGAGCAAAGAGTAGAAGAGTTTTCATTCTTAGAAGTTTGTGTTGCAACCTTTGTTTGCAGAGCTCGAGCTCTGCAACCTTTGTTTGCAGAGCTCGAGAACATGCTATCTTTAGGTGATGAGGGTTTCTGGTTTTGGTCTAAAGGTAAAGTAAGCCTATGGCCAACAAGGGATACCTCTCCCATCAAAAGTGGAATGTTGCCTGTGTTAGGAACTGGGCTTTCAGAAGCTTCAGCCATATCTATTTTGTTTGCAGCCATCATAGTCATTTCATTAACTTTCCTTTGCAATTGTCTTTTCTGTTCCTTGTGTTCCGATATCCCATTTTCACCAGATTGAATGCTATTTTCTGAATCTTTTATTTTTTCCCCTGGGACATTTTTGTCAGAAAGCTGAATGGTATATTTGGAATTTGTTGCCCAACTGCAAGGATGATTAATTTCAACAGCAACATGAAATTTAGGTATAGGGACAGTTGTACAAACCAAAAGTTGTGGCTTATTGCTGTTGATATTTGTTGCTACTTTCAAATTATCCCTTAGTATTTTAGTTTCTGCTTTGCAAATAGCTTTTTGCTGCAGAGGCTTTATGTCCTTTTTTGTCTTTTGTCTCCCCCTTGCGTGGGGGGGCAGCTATTCTCACATCAATAGCTGAACAAACATTACTGGTTTGCTCAAACTTTTCTTTCATTTTGGAGAAGACTGAGTTTTTATTGATTATTTTGGGTAGGTTCTTTTTCAGATCCAGCTGCTTCTCCTTAGTTTCTTTTTTCCTCAGCAGCTATAAATTTCTTCAGAACATTTTTTACAGTATTCTTCCCACATAAGCTAATCCATTTGGTTCTTTCTTGACTTATTATTGTCTTTGGATTTTCTTCACCAGTTATTGAATTCCTGTCAAACTTGCTTATGATGGAATTTAGCCCATTTTTAGGGGGAGAATACTTTTCTTTAATAATCAATTTGCCCACCTCTCTTGGCTTCTTTCGGAAGGGTTCACGATGGCTGTTCATGAACCTTGACTGCAGAAGTTGAAATTTTGTAGGGCGAATGCCATTGTTTGTGCTTTGGCGTTCAGGCTTTGAGCTCATTTTTTTCCCTAAGCTTTCTAACCAATTGACTTTTTTGTTTTCAACTGTAAGACTGTTAGATACGAGGTCTGTGAGGTAAACCAACAGGCTGCTGAGAACAGCAAAAGCACCTAATTTGCTTGACATCTTATTGAGTTTCTTCTTCAGTGCCATGGGATCAATCTGCACCTTATCGCTGCTCAGCTTCATACCTTTACTTTTGCTGCACAGAAGAAAATGAATGCTTTGGGAAGAGGAACCATAAACATGCATTGTACATTACATCGTATACTAAAATTGCTCTTAAAACTACAAACATTGTACATCTAATGTACACATTTATATAAAATACATCACCTTAGTCAAGACTTAGTCAACCTGTGATTATAGGTACCTATCTATGACTGGCCATTGTCAACTATTGTATTATCTGATATAAGCAGTAATATATTTCATTAACTTTGAAAAAACTTGCATACTTGTTTCCTTCAGCCAACAGCTAAATAAAAGATATAACAAAAAATATTACTAAGTAGTACTGAATATTGTACATTTTTAAGGAACTAAAAATATAATTCTGGCAAGTTTGTTCAATTTTTATAAAAAACTATTTCTGCAGTGTTCCATGTTCCACAAAGTATAAAATATAGGAGGCTACAGTTTTGATAAATTTAGGTCCAAAGCCCAGTTAGTTAAATTAAAACACAATTTCCAATTTTGTGGAAAATGTACTCTTAAAATATCTTTTCTGAAAGCATTACTTCCAGTTGGAAACCATTTCTGGACTTTGTGCTTGAGATGGAAAAAAATGGAACTTTGATTTGAGGTTTTGCTGATTAGATAGGTTTGTTATTATAGAAATGGCTAGTACATAGTATCATGCAAAAGTAAAAAGTTGAAGCTATTACCATATTCTATTACACTAAAACGAGTTGGAAGACAATGCTTCTTAAATTTCCTTTTTACCCAACACTTTTTCCTTTTTCTTCCCCTACTTTCCCATTATTTTCATTTTTCTTTGTAATTTATATTTTGATTTTATATTGTATATTTTGATAAACTAAAAATTTAAAAACATTTCCCCTATAAAATTACAATGGCAAAGATAAAAGCTTTCTGTATGCAAAGCTATTTAGGACAAGATAAACTGGCCTCTGTATCATTTCAGTCATTAACATGGTTGTAAGAAGACTTTTGTTTGAAGAATTAGAATACTGGCAGCTGCGGATTTAGGAAGTGCTTTAACCTGAGAGGATCTGTTACTATATAAAATAATGAACTCAGTGTGAAAGCCAGAGTGATATCAATGGCAGTAGACTATTGCTTGGAACTGGGTGGGTGGGAAAATACACAGTGGTTTCAGCTTTCTAGTATCATAAAAATATTAGTTGGTTAATTCATCAAATAGTAAAATAGTACGTGAATGAGATTCATCTAACAGAATAAAACAGGATTAAGTTTTTATACCTCTTCATATATAAGCAGAAGCAGGACAACAATTGTTTTGGGATGAAATCCTGATGAGGTCAAGGACAAAGGAAATGATTGATTCCAATAACACAGGATTTCATCCTAATACCACATAACAAGAACATGGCCAGTTCATATAACACATGTCTGATTCCAAGAAGCAATATGAGCTGGTGCTCATATTAATTCTGCCATCCAGATTATTGTAAATCCAGGCAACTATTTATTCTTTGCTCAGTAATAGTCACATAATGACAAAAATACTTCTAGCATTTATGTCCTGCAAACAGGACCAGGGCCAGATTTGGGGGAGAAAGGCACAAACTGTTTTAACCACATTTGCTGTAATCTCAATTTCTCATAATCTGAAATTTAGATGGCTTCTAAAAAAATCACAACTTTATTCAGATGGCTATGCCTCCCCCCCCCTAAATATTCTTCCTCTTTCTGAAAATTAAAATGGCAGAATCAAGTACACAGTGTTCACTTTGGACAACGCTGAACATACTGTAGGAACATTAGACTGAAACAATATTCTCATCATCACAGGGTCCTTTTATATAAACCTTCACTCCATTAAACAAAGACAACAGAGCAGAAAAAATATATGTTTGTTCATTGACCATCACTGAATGAAATAAGCAATTCAAAGCCAGTATTTGGTCAAATTATTAAATCTTCCCAAAGGGCAAGTTTTCCTCCTACTCCTTACCTCTCCCCCCACCACACACATGCACAACATTACACCTGTGACAATACTTTTATTATTAAAAGCAATGGTCTGGTTCCTCTCCATGATAGATACATGACAGAGGAAGGTATTGCTTTGAGGATTGTAACTCACATTTACTGAGTCTGATCTCAGCATCAGAAGCCTGTCCCTAGGTTCTTTCCATTATGGAAACATGAGGTCAAGATGATTAAACTTCTTGATGAACGTATCTTTTACTTTATGTACACTGAGAGCATATGCACCAAGACAAATTCCTTGTGTGACCAATCACACTTGGCCAATAAAAATTCTATTCTATTCTATTCCAAACATTTCAGATGCTTTTAAACTTTGCTGCTTAACAAATGGGAACCTGTTATGACAAAAACTGCCCTCATTTCAGTTGCATCTAGGATTGTGAAACATTTACAGTATATACATATCAGAGTTGAAATCTACTTACATTCCCTACTGATTTGGAAGTGCACGTGCACCATTGTCACATCTAATTTTTGACCCTCTGTGCATGTGCAAAGCCTTCTGCGCATGCGCAGAAGGTCAAAAACAGGTTACTTCCTGGTTAAAACCAGGAAGTTAAAACCAGGAAGTAATGATGTCCAGGTGGGTGGGCGGAGCCTCGCACTGCTGCCATTACCGGTTCACTGTACCATGCACTGCCGGCACTACCGATTTGTGCGAGCCGGACAGAATCGGCAGGATTTCACCACTGATACATATCCCATCTCGACTATTCTATTAGCTAACCAAAATGTTATTCTCTGATACAGAAGGTAATTCTAAAAGCTTTGTAGTTGATGCTGGTTTCGCAACTGTACTTATTCAGACAATCTAAATATCCAGAGCAAAATCCATATTCTATATTATCTCTGTAATGTGAGAAAACGTTCTGTGGTATTATGGGTAAAGCAAAAATACTCCATTAATGTTAATTGTGTTGCTAATGCTTAAGAGCATAAAAAGCAGTTTAGTTTTATGAACCTGTTATGCAAGATAATTGCATTTTTATTATTTATTAATATTATATATTACCTTGGACAGTTGTATTTTTCCAGGTGATCTATATCAAGCAGGAAATTAATAATAATAAATATTATTTCGATTCCTAGGATAGAAATTTTTGGCAATAGGAATTATCCCACATAGGAAATTTTGGCAATAGTTCTTTCTCTGCAGCAACATCCTGGAACCCATGACTAGAAAGTGGGTTAAGCAGGCAGCATGGTGGGTTGTTCCTACAACATATTTATCTGCATGTTAAAGTATGGGATTTTTCCAAAACATAGGAAATGTAGTATATAGTAACAAACTGTAGGAACTATGCTTCATGACGATAGAAAGCAATATATGATGCAATCCATGGAGCCACTATAATTTATTTTTTAAATGTACAAATACAGTATTATTCTAATAGAATGACATATTCAATTATTTACTCTAACTCCTTTAATAAAGCAAGCTACTTCTAACAGGAACCTTAGAAGGATGTAGGATTAGGATAGGCAATCTCCTCCTTTCCAGATATTGTATATTTCAGTGTTTCTCAACCTTGGCGACTTTAAACTGTGTGGACTTCAACTCCCAGAATTCCCCAGCCAGCAAGATCAAAGTTGAGAAACACTGGACTATATTTCAATACCCTTCAGTCAACCAGCATCATCAGTAGGAAAGGGGTTGTGAGAACTAAACACTTAACATGTGTACAAAACACTTTGTAGGTACACATTTCCCTAATTCAGAGGTTGATTCACAAATACTTTCACCTTCTTCTTACAGTGGAGGTATCAAAGAATCATGAAATGTAGCATATCTAAGCTGAAACTTAAGTTTTTGTTACCATTAATGACATAGCAAATTAATATAATATTTTACCTAGCCAGTGCTAAATTAGTACCTGGTACAACATAAAAGTATAGTTTTATTTCAATGACTATTTCTTTCATATGAGCAGTTTTCAACCACTAAGAATAACTTGTAGATGCTATATCCCTGGATAGGCATTCTTTGAAAAGTACAGGAAACTATACTATAGGGCGGGAAATTAGGAATGGCTGTTTTAGGGCAGTATTAGTTATTTTAATTAGTCAATAAAGGATTGTGTAAACCAGTCCTAAATTAATTGATGAAAGAGCAGCAGTATCCATGGAATGGGAGGAGTCCAAATTTGCATAATGGGAATGAGATCATGATTAAGAATCCCACCCTTTTCTACATGTGACATTGATGCACATATCAAAGTGGTTGGGCTTCAATCATGCAGATTTTGACACAGATGCCAAGAGAAAAACCAGGCCCCATTGGTATCTCTACCTAACTCCTTTGCCTCCTTGACTTTTATCATCTTTCTCCATAATATGAACAGGAAGGAAGATGTTTAAAGGAGGAAAAAAAAAAAAGAGTGAATAGAATTGGGAAAAGATGGAAAAAAGGAATGGGTGACTTTCCTTACTAGCCTCCAATCCATTGATACAGAATTGTTGAAGTAGAATTGATCATTCTTCCTTTACTCACACTTAGTCGTACTTAAGTCCTATGGAAATAAGTGAAAATTAAGTAAGCCTTTGATCTTAATTTTAGTGAGACTGAGGTGTTCTCCTCTTGTAATCCTGCATGTATCTACTTGGATGTAAATCATGGCAATTTCAATTTATTCCCAGGTAAATATGCATGGACCTGAATCCTGACCAAATATATAAGTGGAAGGAATCAAAACTCAGGAAATATCTGCCTACAAATAAATCACTTTAACCTTGACCTCTAGTGACAATTGCAAGCAAAAATTCCAGTGACAACATACGGGAACATGCAATAAGCAAAAGTGCAAAAATAAAGAACAATGCTTATGAAGAGGCATAACATTCATTTATTTACAAGAATTTTAGTCACCCAAATAATTACAAATTTTGTCTTTTAAAAAAACAGCATCAAAAAATCTGAAAGGAACCATTGTAGTTTTGGGTGGGTAGGTTACATTGATTTGATTGATTTGGGTAATTATTTTCTGCCTTTTCTTGGATCGTTTCCTGGTGTTAGCTCTCCTTCTTTAAAGGAATGGTGCTGCAAGTCTGACAAAAAAGTCACATTAAAAGGAAATGACAGGAGTGTGGATTAAGAATTTCAGGGAAAATGAGTGCTCTGAAAAAATAGCTATGCTCTTTTAGAAGGATGATGAAAGCAGTCTCCAGTGTGTAGATAGCATTAGATTTTTATATGCAATGATAGCATAAGTGAAAATGAGCACACAGATGACAGAGTGACATTATTAACAAGGTGAAGCAGAAATTCGTGTCATATAAAAAAAATTTTTAGAGCATTTTTTTAAATGGATGCCAAAATTCTACCTTTGAAGAAATTTTCTTCAACAATTTCTGGATAATTGTGGATAATTTTTAAAGGTATTCTAAAACACTGACTGCCAACAGTGCTTAAAAACTTATAGGCAACAATCCTAATATCCTGGGGGAAGATGAGCACATCGTTATTACTGAATAGTCTAATCTTAAAACAAAAGGGGGCATCTGGTTTTTTCCTTTTTTCTCTCCTGCACATTTGTTTTCAAAAGTGATTACCGGTTTATTATAACATAAAAAAATTAAAAGTATCTTTACTTTTCCTCTGAAGATCGTTGGAAAATAGTTTCCCCCAAGTATTCGAACCTCTCCCTTTGCTCAAGTTCCTGGTATAAGCCTTTAGGAACCTTGTTGAGGCCATAGAGTAACCCATACAAGCAGCCAGCAATTGATCCCGTAGCTGCACTCTCGCCTAGAAATCAAAAGCACAAATGAGAAGTTAGCTCCGTTCAGGAATTTTAACCATGGAATGAAAGATAGGCTATTGCCAAACAATGATCAAGAATGTATTTCTGACAGGTTTCTGGGCCTCTTTGCGAACTGAATTTCTAAAATTTCCTCAGCATCTCCATCCTCAATTTTCATCAGCATGAACTGTGAAAAAAATCAAAACCCAGCACATCGCAGAAGATGACAACATTGTGCCCCACTGCTGTAATGTTACAAGTGAATTAATTCATTTATTAACCATCTTTGAATGATTTATAAATCATTATAAATCTCTCATCCAAAATTACAATTCTTTCTTTCTCTTCATATACAATCCCCTCAATTAGCTGCATAGAAAATCATTGGATAGTCTATGTTACTACCACAAACTATTCCACATTAATATCAGTTGACATTTCAACTGATAATGGTTTGATCATTACTGTACCAAAATAGCATGATGAGGAAAAGCATTATATCACTGTAAGCTATTAGGTAGGAGGTGGCCTAAAAGATGCACGTATACTTTTTAACTTTAAAAGAAGGGACTCCTTAAAGGGCTGTCACTGATACCCACTTTATCTAAAGTTATCCTGCTTTCTGCAATAGAAAGTGAGCCCTTGAAGTGAAAATGTGTGAACTGACAATGGTTGAGCAATTAAAACTTTCAATGACACACTGGCCACACTGGCAGGAGTTATGTGACTTGGAGACCAATGCCTCTCAAAAACTTTTGGTTGACGAAAGCTGCTGTGAACATGTTGCATTTTAATTTCTATAAGGATTGAATTATATAAGAAATACAAAAAGCAGTATTTTACTCACCTCCATGGAACATTGACCGGTTACAAAGTTCTGTCCAGTCACCACCACATCCTAAGAGAGCATCATATGCAATCATGGGAGCATCATGACCTCTCCTTCCACCACGACCTTCAGAACTCCATCTCCGGTAAGTCTAAATGGATAACTAATAACTTTGACTGTGTGAATTTGATGAAATGCAAACCAGAACATGCATTTATAAACCTCTCCGTTTGCATGTTTTAAAAACATAGATTGATTAAAAAAACATTAAACTATGGTTTATGCTTTCAAGTTCCTTGATTTATTTGCTTTTAATCCTTTGAGTAATATCTATCCATCTGTCACTGGTTCGCTATACATCAACAATCAATTTTTTTTTGTCAGCTATTATTGTTTCTATTACTATTTCTCTTATAAATGACTAATTTAAACTTTATTCTGTAAAATATTCTGTTTTTTGAGACACAACCTCTATTGTTTGGTTTTGTAATTACAGCATAGGATCCATTTTACCATCTGGCAGATGGTACAGGATAATAAAAACAAAGACAAATAGGCTGAAAAACAGCTTCTATCCCAGGGCAATAACCATATTGAATTCTACGGTATAGTGCAATATTGGGTTTTAAATTTAAATTATATAGAATGTAAAGGATGTATGTTTGTGTTTTTATTTTTATAGTTATGATGTACACTGAAGACGGCATTTAATTTCGTTGTACCATGTGCAATGACAATAAACTAATAACTAATAAAAACAAATTTTTAATAAGAAAAGTATCAGTTCATATCTATTCCTCCTCTCTCCAGACACACAGAGTTTAAACAGCTGTTTCTTGAAAAATTTACCTTTTCTCTTTCCTCAGCATCATAATTGTCAGGAAATTGGGGTTTATTCTGGTTTTCTTCATTGATCTCTCTCTCCTCCAAATAAAATTGCCATTTTGCTTCAAAGTAAAACCAGTGTTCCTGATATTCTGAATGGAAAATAAATACGTAATTATAACACATTTAATCTTGAAAAATTATTCCAGTCAAGCATAGTCAAATTAGGCTGTTATAATACTGTTTGTCATTAATAATAACTAATATGCTGTACAGTAGAGAATAGGTATGGAAGATTTTTATTTCCATAAAGATAAAGAATTAGAATCAGCTAACACAAAATAGAGACTCCATTTAGTGTGGTGGTTAAAGCATCAGGTTAGAAGCCAAGAGACAGTGAGTTCTAGACCTATTTAGCCACAGAGCCAGCTTGGGTTAGTCATTTTTTTTTCAACCGTAGGAAGGATGAATGGCAAACCATTTCTGAAAACCCCTTTCCAAGAAAACTATAGGAGCTTGTCCAGAAAATCAGACATGATTGAACTGAAGAAAATAAACACAAAATATGAAATAAGCTGGATAGATCTGTCCTTCTGCACCATGAGTTTATGTGTGAATTTAGACTTGAGCCTGGAAATCTTTTAAGATGTTTTCTTACTGCTTAACGCATTTATGGAAGCCAAGTTTGGTTAGCAATCTGGCTGCAATAGGATTTATATTAGTTCCATTTTTAGACCATTTTTAAAGGCTTTCTTTAATGCAATATGCTATAGTAACATAGCCAACTAAATAACTAAATCTGGTAACATAGTCAACAAAGATAACTAAAACTCAATCAGCTTTTGATACACAATCTGAACCCTGTAATATTTTTATTAATACAACTGAGTTTCACATTTAAGCTGTATACTCGAATATTATGCAGGTGTTGTATGAATCCATGTGAAAGATACAAACTTTATTTTAGGGTAATTCATCTTTTACTTTTCCCCCCCTCAAGAAATAATTTTTGAGGAGACAAAACTCACTATTATTCTTGAAATGTACCCTGCTATTCTATCATAAATGTACTTCCTGATACCCTGTTGGAAAGAACATTTCTAAACACATTTTATGGTAGAGCTTACTTTTCCCCCTGAAATCAAAGGCAATTTCCTACACAGAAGAAGCTCTTTCTGTGTAGGAAATTGCCTTTGATTTCAGGGGGAAAAGTAATTTGTGCAGTGTATCAGCAATCTAAATAGTATTTATTTTCTTCATTATATTTAGCTTAGTGCTACCATGTACAGCCATTTAGAGCTGTTGAGTAGGAAAGAAAGAAAGAAAGAAACTTTTATCATTGTTTCTCCAGCCAAATCTCTTGAAAAACAGGGTTCAGTTGTGTTTCAAGCAGGGATCTATTTTTTCAACCTCTCTCCCCGCTTTCTAAAATAGCACTGCTTTCCACAATGACGGGTTTACAAGCACATGCTTCAAAAGGCTTGCGTGTTTTGCTTAGAGATGACATTGCCCTGAGCAAATGCCAGCGTCCTCCTGTGAGAGACAGACTTATAAGTGTTAATCCTGCACCTGCTCTACTCTTAAGAAACAACAACAACAGTTTGGATAAAAGTGGAAGAACTTCCATTAAAAAAAAATGGAGGGACTGTTAAAAGCACATTGCTTTTGCATGTGTTTCACTGGTCTAATGTTATTTTTAAATTAGTATTTCATTACATTTCTCACCCAATGCCTTACAATACCATTTAAATTTAAATTCAAACTGAAAATGGCAAGTGAAATTAATTACAGTACTAAAAAAGGTTGCAATAGCACTTAGACTTATATACCGCTTAATAGTGCTTTACAGACCCTGTCTAAGCAGTTTACAGAGTCAGCATATTGCCCAGTGGTGGTATTCAGCCAGTTCTATCCGGTTAGAGCAAAACAGTAGCTGCAGTGGCGGGAGGCTCCGCTCACCCGCCTGGACTTCACCACATCCCATTTTTGATGCTCTGCGCATGTGCGATAAGTCCTGCGCATGTGCAGAGGTGGTGTATGAGCTTGCATTTGTGAACCGGTAGCAAAGGTAAGTGAATACCATCCCTGATATTGCCCCCAACAATCTGGGTCCTCATTTTACCGACCTCAGAATGATGGAAGGCTGAGTCAACCTTAAGCCGGTGAGGATCAAACCCCTGGCAGTCTTAGAATTAGCCTGCAATACTGATTCTAACCACTGTGCCACCACCGGTAACTAAACAAAGTTACTGAAAATTTTAAAAAGTTATATTGTTTTTACATTTTATGAATTTGAAATGCCCCATTTACCTGCCATGTGCCTGATGGTCTTTTTGCAAAACTCTTCGGCCATTGGAACAACTTTCATCATCTCTCTTCCCCATTGGACCAGTGGCTTTCCTTGGATTGCATACGAAGCAAACAGAGCTGCACAGAGGGATCCTAGGAAGCCTGAAATTAGCACATAAAGATGAATGTGTGTATGGTACAAAAAAGAAACAAATTTAATACTGACAATATTAAAAAAAGGGGGAGCTTATGGACAGAATCATATCTATGTGTGCATAAAGAAATAAAAGTTCTAGTGTGCTCCCATGAGGAATCATTTTGTGAGGCTGAAGTAGCTATTTACTTTAAAGTCAATTAAAATTACATCCGTTCAGATATACAACATAGAACATACAGCCTTTTGAAAAATTAAAGAAGCAACCGTGAGATAATTTATTTGACTCCAAATAATACTTCATTTACTTAGTATTTAGGAGTTGTTGCTTTAAAGTAGTCCTTGACCTACAACAACAGTTCATTTAGTGACTGATCAAAGTTACAATGGCATTGAAAAAAGTGACTTAACAACTGTTTTTCACACTTACGACTGTTGCAGCATCCCCATGGTCACATTATCAAAATTCAGATGCTTGGCAACTGATTCATACTTACGATGGTTGCAGTGTCCCGGGTCACACGATCCCCTTTTTTCAACCATCTGACAAACAAAGTCAATAGGGAAGCCAGATTCACTTAACAACAGTGTTACGCTTAGAGAGGGCTGTAAAGCACTGTGAAGCGGTATATAAGTCTAAGTGCTATTGCTACTAATTTAACAACTGCAGTGATCCACTTAACAACTGTGGCAAGAAAGGTGGTAAAATGGGGCGAAATTCACTTAACAAATGTTTCACTTAGCAACAGAAGTGCTCCCAGTTCGGACCAGATTGCCCGATCCGGTAGCGATGGAGGTGGGTGGTTCGGAGAACCGGTAGCAAAAATCCCTGCCCCACCCAATGCCCAACTGAGCCGCGCAATCATCAGAGGCTTTTTTTTTTAAAAAGCATTTTTTCTACAACCTCTTTGGCCAAAAAAATGCTTTTAAAAGTAAAAAAAAAAAAAGCCTCTGATCATTGCGCAGCTCACCTGGGATCATCAGAGGCTTTTAAAAGCATTTTTTCTCCAATCTCTTCAGCCGAAGAGGTTATAGAAAAAATGTTTTTAAAAGGAAAAAAAGCCTCTGCCGATCAGGCAAGTCAGCTGGGATCGTCAGAGGCTTTAAAAAAAAAAAGCTTCTGCTGATCAGGCAAGTCAGCTGGGATCGTCAGAGGCTTTATAAAAAAAAAAAAAAAAAAGCCTCAGCCGAAGAGGTTGTAGAAAAAATGGTTTTAAAAGTAAAAAAAAAAAAAAAGTTGGCCATGCCCACTCAGTCATATTACCCCACCACCACCACCAAGCCACGCCCACAGAACCGGTAGTAACAAATTTTACATTTCACCACTGACTCAATTGTGGCCATAAGTTGAAGACTACCTGTATAAAGCATGCAGACTTTTAAAAATCCACTTTGAAATGGTAACAACCTCTGGTTTTTTTTCATACAGATATTTCTTCTAACCAGCAACACAATAATAGTTTTTTAAAGAACAAAATAAAAGATTATGCTATATCTAACAATGTTTAGTTTGACCATTTGGGGCTATTTAGAATTTTGAAATACTTTATGAACATCCCCACATGGCCAAAATATAATGCTAATGGTAGCATAATAAATACATGTGCTGTAACGCTTAATTCATCAAACTTCAAGCTCTATATTAAACTGTTCCCCTTTCAAAGATGTTCATAATGTTTTTTGTACCACTGCCAGCACATAATCATAACTATGGAACATTTCAGAGAATAGACATGACCTGCTACTTATATCTGCCTTTAGGAGGTAGCTGGCTGGTATGTTTTCATGGTAACATTCCAGGATAATGACTTATTTTATTTCTCTATGTAGTTCTGACCTCAATGATTATGACAGGAGAATGGGATGCAGAAACTCAAAACAAACTTTTAATGATTCAAAGCACAACTAAAAAAAAGAATTAATATCCTGTTGCATGTCACTGCTTGGAGAGAAGACTGATTTGATTTTTAGCTTACACATTATTCTCTTCATTGGGGGCAATAATTGATTAACCCATTTCATGATTTTGCATATTTTATGGCAATTGCTCTATACCAAATATGCATCTTGGTTTCTAGAAAATATGATAGGCCTATTTTAAGTTTGCATTTCTGACACACATCAGGGCTGATTCTCAGCTGATATTTAGTAGGAAGTCAGAAACGAAGAAAGTTTGCCATTAATATGCATGCTGAAATCATAGTGTGTCACTGCCTCATGCAGGGGTCAGCAACCTTAAACACTCAAAGAGCCACAAAGTCCTAACAGGAAGCCCCCCATTCAATTCTGGAGCCAACCGGAAGTCTGGTTCTCCCACCATAGAATCTCCTCCTAGTCCTTTCTCTTCTACCTGTCCTAACTGAAAGCCCTATCAGTTGTAGAGCCGACCAGCGACAGGGAGCCGCAGCAGAGGGATGAAAGAGTCACATGCGGCTCCAGAGCCTTCGGTTGCTGATCCCTGGTCTAATGTATCTTTCCCTAACTAGGATTTTTCCAGATTTGTTGAATTCCCCAGTAAGCATACCTGTAGATTTACTATTGGTTCCGGGGGGTGCTTCTTCTGTTGCCCATCCACCTTACTTACTTTAGTTCCTTTTGGGCAATTGCCCCATTGACTCTATACCTCTTTAGGTTATACCTATGATCCCCATTTTTTTCCCATAGCGCCTTCCTGCTCCCTGAACTACAGCTGGGAAAACATATGTTAATTCAGAATGTGAACCTGTCATACTGCAACCAAATCACACTTTGGAATCCTTGGCCCTAGGATTCCATTTGGAATAAAAAATATAGCTTCTAAATCAAGGCATTTGGAAGTGAGTCCTTACAACAGATGGAACTTCTTAATGACTAAATAAAATAGGGTTACTGGCAAACATTTCTGCACGCCTGAATTAACATATTTAAGCTTTTATATTTGTTTTTAATATTACAACCTTACATTTTATTATCTCAGCTCTTCCAGAAAATATCAAGCATCTTTCTTGCAAATTCTTCTCATAATTCTTCTCTTCTCATATTTGTGTGTGTGTGTGTAAGTATCTGTTGACTTGCAAGGTACTCTAGACAAGAAGCACAACCAGGAGAACTAAAGGTAAAGGTTCCCCTTGCACATATGTGCTAATCTTTCCCGACTCTAGGGTGCGGTGCTTATCTCCGTTTCAAAACCAAAGAGCCAGTGCTGTCCAAAGACGTCTCCGTGGTCATGTGACTGGCATGACGAAACGCCAGAGGCACACGGAACACTGTTACCTTTCCACCAAAGATGGTCCCTATTTTTCTACTTGTATTTTTTACGTGCTTTTGAACTGCTAGGTTGGCAGAAGCTGGGACAAGTAATGGGAGCTCACCCCATTACGCGGCACTAAGGATTCGAACCGCTGAACTGTCGACCTTTTGATTGACAAGCTCAGCGTCTTAGTCACTGAGCCACCATGTCCCACTCTATCTTTATTCTACCTTTATTCTAAGGTTACACTAACAGAATCTTGCAAGTGTGAAAGTAGCCTTCCCTTCCTTCACTTTACTCTTCTGAAAACTAGGGAGGGTTCCTTCTGAGATGCTTTTATTACACCTCCTCATTTGGATTCCAATTTAGTTTATTAAACCGTTGTCTAGATTGTGGCTCTTTCTCCTGTCTCCCAAGGTATTCCCACATACCATTACGGTATCCTCTAGGTCAGGAGTCTTCAACCTTGGCAACTTTAAGACTTGTGGACTTCAACTGGCTAAGGAATTCTGGAAGTTGAAGTCCACAAGTCTTAAAGTTGCCAAGGTTGGAGATCCCTGCTCTAGGTCTTTTCAGGGGAAGTTTAATGGGTGGGGACATATAAATGTTCCTTTTCACCCCCAATTTTTCCCCATACTTGAGTGTTTGTCTTCATATAATTAATGAAGTTCTAACCTTAAGAGAGCTAGTATATTAGAACATATATTCAGTGGACTAGAACATATGCCTTTAATTGTATAGATGTCAAATAAAACGTATGGTACCCCATCATCCAGGATATGTATTACTGTACTCAGTCATTTGCTAATGACAATGTTTTATATAGGACAACCAAGTGTGCTAATTTTCCTGGATATTACCTGTAGGATGGTTATGAGTCATTCGTCCAACTTCAATGCTCACTTCAATGAGAGTTTCCAGCCTTTCGGGCTTCCAGTATTTCATCCCTAAACACATGGCTTTTGTAGCTGCACCAAACCCTGAGCCTATATGACAAACAACAACATGTAAATTAATAAAGAAAGTTCTGCTGTTTTTAAAATGGTTGCATGAACAATTTAATTAAATATAAAGAAATCCATAGAGATAGTATAGTATAAATTCTATAGCACAGGGCTGTCAAACTCATAGCCTGCGGGCCGCATGCGTCATGTCCTGGCCACACCCACACCCGGCCTCGTGAAGGGGGAAAAAGTCACAATATGTCACATGACACCGCCGTTACAACGCAAGTTTGACACCCCTGCTATGGCATATAAATGTAATAAATAATAATAATTCACTATCAGTCAGTTGCCAAAGGTGGCTTTAGTTTGAACAGCATACATCTTGCATCAATGCAGGATGAGCCTTGGTAGTACAGTGGTCTAAAGCACCCTGTTATTAAGACCAGCTGCCTGCAATTACTGCAGGTTCGAATCTCGCCAGGCTCAAGGTTGACTCAGCCTTCCATCCTTTCTAAGGTAGGTAAATTGAGGACCCAGTTTGTGGGGGGCAATAAGCTGACTTTGTATAAATATACAAAAGGATGAAGGCTATTGCTTAGCACATTGTAAGCCGCCCTGAGTCTCCGGAGAAGGGCGGCATATAAATCAAATTTTTTAAAAAAATGCCTTTACATCATCAAACAACAAGATCTGCCTATTTCATGTCCTTGGAAAGGAATCTATAGGTGGATAAAAATGCCAAATCCAATTTAAACATCTGGCTGACTATGTGACCAACCATAATAAACAAACTTAAAAAAAAAACAAAATAAACCAGGAAAAAGTTTTTAAAGAAACGAATAACAATTTGGAATACACACAACATATACACAAGCAGTTTTGAAGAGAAATTTTGATATTTTCTTTGTTTATTGAATTTGATAAGACCACCCATTTCGAAAAAGGCTCTGAGCAGCTTACAATGTATTCAATGCTTAAGAACAACACAAAAAAAAAACCACAGGAGACTCCCCATCATGCAAGAAAGAGTCATCAGAGGCTCCACAGACACACTAATCCCAGGCATAAGCTTTACACACCCTCCTCCCTCGCCACACAAACTGTCTACATAAAATTACATTTCAACAGATGAGGGCAATATATTAGAAAAATCACAATAAAGCTGGATTTGTCCCTCATGAAAAAGTTTTTTGACGTGTGTGTGTGTGTGTGTGTGTGTGTGTGTGATATGCCTGGGTTTAGTGTCTCTGTGGAACCTCTGATGACTTGGAGTATTATATTAATTTTTCACGCCAAGTAATTTCTTCTCACTTCTTAAATATTATTGATCGAACAAAGATGCATTTTAGTTCTGTAATGTTTAGTAACAACAAACTTTTGGCCATTAATTGGGTGTATTTATATACAGGTAGTCCTCGGCATACAACAGTTCAAAGTTACAACAGCACTGAAAAAGTGACTTAGGCTGTTTTTCACACTTACACCGTTCCAGCATCCTCATGGTTACGTGATCAAAATTCAGGAGCTTGGCAACTGACTCATATTTATGACGGTTGCAGTGATAACTTTTTGCAACCTTCTGACCAGCAAAGTCAATGTGGAGGAGAGACACTTAACCTTGTCACTAATTTAGCAAGTGCAGTGATTCACTTAACAACTGTGGCAAGCAAGGTTGTAAAATGGGGCAAAATTCACTTAACAAACATCTTGCTTAGCAACAGAAATTTTGGGTTCAATTGTGGATGTAAGTTGAGGAATACCTTTATCTCTTTCTTACATAAAAACACTGCTTTTATTATATATATGTTTAACTCAAGGTTTTGATTTCTGGGCCTCTTCCTTCCCCTTTTCATGTCATCAATGAATCAAGATTTGATTCTTTGCCTTGAGTATTTCTGGTGCCCATCGCTTGTTTACAAAATGTCTTTCTCTGTCACAGGAATCAAAACCTCCAGCTTCATCAGCTTCAAGTCCAGACACTTACTATCATAAATCACTGCCCTATGCTAAATAATATTAGGAAGATAGTAGATTCAGTCTTATTGTTGAATGACTAATTGGGAATTTTCCAAGTTACATAAAGTGGAAAAAATAGCGTGTTCCCATGAGTGGGTGTTACTTATTTTTTCACCCATGGTTTATAGTAATGGTATTACTGACACCTTCTCAAGTGTCCTCTCAGAATGATAGAGTAGTATGAGACAGTCAGATTCCTCTATGTCATGACAACTTGTTACCCTCCAGTTGGCTGAACCACAGAATGGATTAGATGGAGACCCAGAGCATTAGAGGGAAACTATAGCCCAAGACTGGCCTAGTTTTATTTTATTATTTCTTCTTCTGGAGAGTGAGGAGGGGCAGCTGTTTTGACATCAGTGGTATACTGCAGTTCTCAGGGACAAAAATAATTGCCACAGTATGTTGCAATGTTTATGCCATGATGCTGCCTTAGAGGATGATGCTCCAATTGAGTACCCTTATGTCCGAATGAAACAGTGTCATATTAACCTGGAATATGGATCTGGAATCTGCGTCATCCAGTGGAAGTTGGGCTTTTGCCCATGAAATATGGTTTCTTAAACTTGCCAGCATTCAGACTATAGAACAGGTTCTGCAGTTTGCATATGTGGGAGTTAGGTTTGTGCAATATACACCAGGAAGGAAGGAAAATGAAGTCACTGGAGAAATCAAACTGGCAATCAATGTTTTGTCTTTAGTCCTACACTCAGAGGCATCATGTGTATGCAGTTGGATTGTCCCAGTAGTCTGATTTCAATAATGAAACTAGTAAAATGCAGTGGTGGGTTTCAAAAATTTTTACTACCAGTTCTGTAGATGTGGCTTGATGGGTGTGGCATGACTTGGTGGGCATGGCTTGGTGGGCATGGCAGGGAAAGGATACTGTAAAATCTCCATTCCCACCCCACTCTAGGGGAAGGATACTGTAAAGTCTCTATTCCCTTCCCAATCCAGGGGAAGGTTACGGCAAAATCCCCATTTCCTCCCAAGTCCAGCTGGTACTTGGGAGGCAGAGAATAGATGGGGGCGGGGCCAGTCAGAATTTTTACTATCGGTTCTCCGAACTACTCAAAATGTCTGCTACCGGTTCTTCAGAACTGGTCAGAACCTGCTGAAACCCATCTCTGGTAAAATGTCTAATAAATGCACAGCTCCAGATGAAACATGAACAACTGTATTCCAGGAAATGAATATAAAATTCCAGGACAAAAACCTGGAATCAGAAAGCATCATGCCAAGAACAAAGACTCTAGAAATAGATATTGAGCTATTTGTAAGCCGAGATAATTTACAAAAGGACACTGAGCTGAGCCCTCCCCAAGGAATTCTTGGCAGCTGACTATGTTTCTCCAGGCACATATAGAATTGCTGCTCAGCTATACAGCAGATCACGATTCTTTCCCACATGTCAGAGGAGAGCATACTTGTTATTGTAAAAAGAGAAAAAAATATTGCATCTATCTTTACAGGATCAATCTATGAAACTTGTCATTTTTTTATGAAACACAAAAGAAACCTAAACTCTTTAAGTATACCCTACAATACATGAAAAACTGTGTAGTCTGCAATGATTTATCACTGGTTAATTGAGGTAGCAGTCAAGTGCTAAGTATTTAGGATTTTGAAATGCACACACCAAACAAGACCAATCCTGTTTATATTCACCTAAAGTTAGTTCAATATTGTATATGAATGTGTATGTCTCTGTGTGTAAATATCAATATCAATCAATGCAATTTACCAACAATTGAATACATGAAACTGCAGCCAAAATGTCAAAACACTGAAATAGTAATAGCAGTAACAAGAGGACTTAGACTAATATTCCTCTGCACAGTGCTTTATAGCACTCTCTAAGCGGTTTACAAATTTCAGCATATTGCCCCCAACAATCTGGGTCCTTATTTTACCGACCTCGAAGGGATAGAATGTTGAGTCAATCCTGAGCCAGTCAGGATCGAACTCCTGACTGCAATACTGTATTCTAACCACTGCGTCATCATGGCTCCTAAATATATTCAAAATGATTGTAACTGTACAGGGCTATTAGCCTAGTCCCCAAAACTTTAACCTTAGACTGTCTACTGTAGACCTCACCCCATTCCTAAGAGGTCTGTAAGGGGCGTGCATAAGCGCACCAGCGTGCCTACCATACCTGTCCTAATGTTTTCTTTTATTTGTATCCTTTTCATGTATTTATAATTATGTTTATACTTGTATCTGTCATAAAATGCATGCTTGACGAAAAAAAAATTGAAACAGGGCAGGAAATCCACAATCAAAGCAGAGGTGAAATGCTACTGATTTGCTCTGGTTTGGGCAAACCGGTAGTGATAAAAACTACAGGTTTGGGTGAACCGGTAGTAAAAAAAAAAGCTACCGGTTCAACTAAACTAAAAAAACTACGATCTGACGATCACCTGTGCCACGCGGTTTAGCTTTGCGAGAAAGCAGGATTTCCTGCTTTTTAGCGAAGCTAAACTGCGCACCACAGCTGATCCCCCCCTCGCTGTTCTACTTACCTTCCCAAGCCTCCTTTTGGCGCATACTGCGCGCGCACACACAGCACACGCCAAAAGGAGGTTTAGGAAGGTAAGTAGAACAGCGAGGGGGGGATCAGCTGTGGTGCGCAGTTTAGCTTCCCTAGAAAGCAGGAAATCCTGCTTTCTAACAAAGCTAAGCCGTGCAGCACAGGCTTAGCTTTGTCGGATTGTAGCTTTTTTTAACTACCGGTTCAACTGAACCGGTAGCTTTTTAAACGTGCAGCGCACATTTGATACGCACTGCACATGCGTACACAGCACACATTTGGTGTGCATGCATGTGCACAGCGCACGCTTGGCACGTAGTGTGCATGCGCGGCCAGCGAACCGGTAGCAAACCGGTTCAGATTTCACCACTGATCCAAAAGCTCCAAACTTTATGCTGTCCTTGAGACCTTTAAGTACAGTTCCCAACTGTGGTTGTTAATAGGTCAGACAAAAGAAAAGTATTGAATAAACGGGCAGGCGTTTCTTTTAATTCAGATTAGTTTATAGTGAATTTAGATTCAACACAATAATTGTATATTTGGTTTTGTCCTAGACCTTTGAGGTGTCAAAAGAATATGGCCTTTGATCCAACAATGGTCTGCATCTTTTTTTCTGAAAGGACAAGAGTTAATACGGCTTTTGTTAAATTAGTGAAAAAAATGTTAGGCTACCTTTCTCGTTGAAGGGTGTATGCCAAGCAAGGAGGTAATTATCTGGCTTCAATTGGGAGCATCCTTCAATAGTAGCGGGATCTGACGTTCTCTCAGGAAGTTTTTCAACAGCCTCAACATAACGTTTAACAAGTTCGCGATACAGATCTTCTAAGCACCAATAATCTATGCAGGCAAAAAATAAAATATATTTGTATACAGCCGGAAATGTTAAAAAAGAAAGAAGAACATGAATGATGGCAATTATTTCTTGTCACAGTCATCTAACATGTTACATCATTACAGTCTTGGCATACATGAATGGCAATGATAAATAGAGCAGCTCTGCATGGCTATCAACAAGTTAGTCTCATTACATTCAGCCTGGCTTATTCCTATCTCTGATGAGTGAGTTTATGATACTATGGGATTATAATTTTGGCTGCAAACATTTGGATAAGCACTAAATGGTAGCAAAGTATAAATTCATGAGAAATGTAAATTATAGCACATCTACTTTGAGAGATAAAGTGAGACCCATAGATATTACTGAACTATAGTTCTCAATAGTCCCAACCAGCAAGGCTGACACATGAAGTTCAATTCTTAAGCGTCACAGATCCTCTATTTGTGAACGATTAGAAAGGTAGAAAGATGGCAGTGGACTTCTCTGTGTAACATGGAAAACATGAATATGATTGTTTGGAAGTGGGAGAAACTTCTAATGTAATTTACTGGATTCCCGGAATGGATTGCCCTTGCAACTATGTGGGACAGATAGATAGGAAGCTAGTAACCAGATTGCAGGAACACAAGTGAATGGTTACTCATTGGTAGCATCACATTGCGATGACTAATTCAATTTTGCAGCTACAATGATTGTTGGCTGAGCAGGGACAAAAATAGCCAGAGAAACATTGAAGCATAACTAACAACTTAATGTCCAGTTATCAACACCCTAATTAACAACTAAAAGCTACACACAACCAGATATATATGCACATATTCTAAAGACAGAGAAGTTTCCTGATGATGAGCTCCAGGGTGAGTCTAAAAGCATGAGAGAATAAATCTTTGTTCCCGATGACTGACTCAGATTGCATCCTGCAACATTATCTTGGGATGGGACATGTATATTTACCTTCATTCACATGAATATGAGTTCAATATTGAAATAAAAAATAAGGTGGAAAGTTCTTTATACATGCAGGAGTTCTTTTTGCTTTACCACAGAGTTAAGAACATTGTTTTATCTCCATCATACAATTTTATTAGAACCAAAAGACCTTGTATTCTGTAACATGATTTGGCCAAACAGATGTGTTTAGAAAGTTCACAAACAGAAGATCAATGTCTCCTACTGACGTGTAGCAAATAATCATTCAAAGTTTGTTGCCTATGATTCAGATGCAGCATCAGAAGTCACTGAAAGCACAACTCTTTAGAATATGCATATTTTTCCTTAAAAAATTCTAAATAGTAGGAAATGCTATTGTTAAGTCTGTGGAATGTAAACAATCTTTTGCTTTATTATTTGTAATTACTTCTTGATTTTTAAAGCATCAACAAATTTCTTTTGTATGTCCAATGAAACATCTTTTTGCATGTCATTCTTATAGCCTGTCATTAGTATATCCACTTTTAGTGTCAGTTCTGTCTCTGTCTTGTCAGATAAAACTTGTTCCTCTTCTACCATTTATTCCATAACATCTTTTGGATATAGTCTACCGATAGAAACAAACATCACTATTGACATTATTGATATTAACGTCTGATGCCATATTTCAAAATGGTCCTTCAATATTTCCAATATTATATTTCATATCATTCTGTAGCTGTTAATTACGGTTTTGTATTCTTCTTTAATTAAAATGTGCATCCGATTCTTATTCTGCTTATTTCCATTGTGTTTTAGAAAAAATTCAAAACAAATCCACTTTCCAACAACTTATTCATGTGATCAACTATCTCCAGTTAGCTCATCTCAGGAGAGCCAAGAGAGTGGTTTACTTCAGGTCCCTTACATGAAACAGTGCCTCCTGGCAGGATCTAGAAGGTGTGCCTTCTTTGTTACAGTGCCTGCCCTATAGAATAGAATTCTACCCAAGATTTGGATGGCTCCAACCTGCTGATCTTCCATAAACCTAGTTTATCCCCTGGGCATTGGGTCAGAGTATGGAATAAGATCATCCAGAATTGAAAAGATGGTATAGCTGTTGTTGGCCTCATATATTTTGTTTTGGATGTTTGTTGTGGTTTGGTTTCTGATTCTTTTGTTTATTGTCCTTCTAACCATTTATAAGCCACTCAGAGTCACTTTTGTAAGTTGGGCAGCTGTGCAAATCAAATAGAGATACATATTTAGGGTTTTTCTGCACACCTTGCCAATTGTAGAAGATGCAGCAATAGTACTTGGAGGACATAAATTATATCAATGTACTTCCAACACATCCCTGATCCATCACCATGTGTAATATAGGATGTGGTAGCAGATCCTAAGGTTGCCAGGACTTGATTGGATGGCAAGCCAAGAGTAGGTCTCCAGGATAAATATCTGCCACCTTCATCTGCCACAGCAAACCTGCTGTGTTTGCTGTGCTCACCCAGCCCTGGCACACCATCTGATCAGTGGGGCTGGATAGCTGCCATTTTTGACATGCATCCAGAAGTCTTACCACATGTGAGTGGCAATTGAAGAGTTGCTTACCCCCACTTGGAGTTTAAGTGGCTCCAGCCATCACTTCCATGTGATAATGCAGAAGTGAGTAGGGGAGGCTGATCTTGGTACATGGAAAACTGTCACAAAAAAGACATTCACTTTTCTCTTCCCTTTGCTTTTCTTCACATGGATGGTAGGAGAAACCAGGAGGAGACAAATGGCAATGATGGTATCTCTGGTTCCAGTTCTCCAAACACTGTTAAATTGGAAATCTGACATCAAGAGGCCTTTCACACCCTGTTTGTCTCCTCCCCTTGGTTCTTACATGGATAGCACTATATTCCATCTTTTTGTTGAGACAGAATCAGGGATGGAAGTGGTGCCAGGATGTTTTTCTATTGGCATACCCTATGCTGGCCTCTGGCCTCAAGAATAGCACTTCAATACTGCTATGCAACAGACCTCTCAGAATATGGCTTAGTTCATGATGAATGGCAGCACTACTGACCCATGAAGGAACAAGCCAATGTACCTATTCTTTCTGGCTGAGAACCATTGTATTTGACCAGTGGTTGTCATGTATTTATTCAGTGCCCTAGATAAGAGACCCTTACCCTTTTATAAAATAGGAATTATATTGGTATAATAAACAAAACTGCTGTAAAAGTGTCAATAGCTGCTTCTGGAATAATTAAATTGGGATTCTAATAAAATGAAATGGCCAGATGTACCTTTCTTCTTGTATTTTATTAAGTGCTTGAAAACAGAACTATTCAGAAAGGCACTTGAGGATGGATATCTGTTTATTGGTTGCCTATTTAATTATATATTAATTGCATGTGGCTTAATTTGAATTAATTGTTTGTTACAGAATTTAGTTTCATGGCTTTGGTTTTTGTACTGATCATTGTTATGTTTATGAGAATAATTGCACATCAGCACAAGTCATTCTTAGATATTGCAACTTAGAAAAAGAGAGAATAATAAATGTCAAAATGGATATTTTACTACTATGTCTGCAACATCCACTGCGCTTGTAACTAACATTTCTAACAAACATTTCACATTTCTAACAGGTATTTTTAATTGTGGCAAAGCAATTGAACTATCAAAATACAAAAGCAGAAAATGGATTTGTATCTATTTTCATCTTTCTAGAAAGGTAGCATGGTTAATTTTCAGATACCCTGGTTATTTCCAACTTATCCTTTGTCAAATGCCTTTTTTTCTGTCAACTGGTAGATTACAATAAACTATCAACATCTATATTCCCTGTTGTAAAATAGCTTTTATCCATATAAGTTCATTTTAAAGGTTATCAAGTAATGCTTTATATGATAGAAAGACAGCCTATTTCCCTATTTAGGTTAAAAACACAAAAACACTGAATAGCTGGTGTCTGTAAATACAGTTGATAAAATCAAGGTCAAGGTGTATCCTGACAAGTGGTGTCATGTTATATATTGAGAGAAATATGACCTTGCTAATTTGGACCTACTGTATCTAAAAATGGTTGCAGAGCTGGCTGATAAGGCTTGCAGATAGCCTTTATGCTCAGAGGTCAAGAAGCAAGGGACATGTGACGTGTATTTAATCATTGACTATATTCAGAAGTATGCTAGTCATCCTTTGCTTTGATAGGTTGACATCTTGCCATTATCTTTAGGGTGTTAGTTCTATCTCACTTCATTGGCTAACTAGTAGCTAGATAAGAAATACACAAGATTCTGGTCAACAGATCAGTGGCAGCTAATTTTAGAACAGCAGTCAGATAAAGGGATTTAAATGAATTTCATTGACGTTGACATATCTGAGTCTACAATACACACAAAAAATAAGAAAGCAATACAGTTTAGAAAATGCTTTTGTCTTTACCAAAGATACCTATATTATATCTGTCCCCCTGAATGTGCATGATAAACTGGGTACAAAATACAATTGTGTGAATCTTATGTCATTTTTTCTTGATGCAGGAGACTGATTTTTGCTACACCAAAGAGCTGCTTATCTATAGGGCAGAACTGGCATTTGAGATTAGTTTTTCTTTCCGTGCTTGTGAAAATTCATTCAGTGAATCATGCAATCTTAATGTATTCCTTTGAACCAAATTTATACAACCAAAATGAGCTAATGTATAACCTTGCTAACTGGAATTCAGCTTGATGCACAAATAAAATAGAGCTAATTTTGCATTTTAAATAATTATTTTTTTTTACGAGGAATAAATTATTTATTTCTAGTATTATTCATAAAATATGTTATGACAGACAAGTATGATATTTCAAATATTGCAGATAAATAGATAGACATGGTGCCTCCCTACAGGTGACTTTATGAGTTCATGGTTGAGGTGGCATTTGAGTCATAAACTTCCTTCCTTTTCTACACTCTTTTTCACCTTATTTAAGTTTAGGGCAAACACATGGTCTATTAAGTATCATTCACTAAAGGCAGCATTAGCTCACTGCTCAGCTAGTAAATATGATTATAACAGCTCTTCTCCTGTTCTCTTCCTACCCTCCAGTCTGCATCCAGATAACTGAGTCTCCGGAGAAAGGCGGCATATAAATTGAACTAATAAATAACAATGTTTTTTCCTCCTACCTGTGATGAGAGCTTCAGCTGTCGCCATGTGCATCAGAGTATTGTCGCTTACTGGCCATTTGTCAGAGGACAAGACCAGGTTCCCAAGTCCTCCTATTTCTTTCAATTCCTCTTGGATCTTTGCACCTAAAGCATTGTTTTCCTTAATAAAATTTCGATAGCCCAAAGCATCCCCTACCCCTGCTAGTAACAAAGCAGCCTTAAATTTCTCCATCATTAAGTGATTTGCTTTTTCAGTTCTCTTTGGTCTCAAACAGGCACTTGACGTTTCTTTGTTCGTTTGCCTTCTAGTGTAGATTAAGCAGCACTTTATATCGGAGCCATTGTGTCATTGGAAAGAACTGTCCGTATAAGGGAAGCCTGGCCTTTCCTGGCATGCATATATGCCACTGCTTCTCTGATAGCCAATGGTCAAGATAAAACTGTAAGTCCAAATATTTTCCAACTTATTTTTAAGCTGCAAGGTTAGAAAGTGTGCAGAACACAAATAAGTGTAGTTGTAAAACTCAGAAGCCCTAAGGACAAAGCCAGCCAAGAAATATTTGATCTCTCCAGTTTATGTAACTCTATCCCTTGAAAAACACATGTTGAATTAAGAGGCTTATTTTTATAGGTGTTCAAATTGGTACATTTCTCCCATTTTGGAATCACTGTCTTGTGTTTCCTTAAAGAACACAGAAACACATTGACTTTATGGACGTTACACTCAGAAGATTAAAACATTATTGATGAAGTAATTCAAAACTGTACTGAAACAAATCTCTTCAATCCCTACATTTAACTGAAGCAGCCGTAGATTTGTCTCCATAGTATCATCTTCAAATGCTGTCTTGTTACAAATACTATGATATACATAAAACAATTGGAACTGATTTTCCTGCTCAGCATTTGTGCATTAGAATCAGTTTGTTGTGCACATACATAAATTATTCTGCACTTCTCAGAAAAAAATTCATTGACTTTATTCCCATTATCTTATTTCCCACAAAACTATCTAAAAAGGCAGTATTACCATCATTTTCATCTTCCCTATTACCTATCTCATCTAATGATTATAATTTTGTTGCTTATCTTACAATTTATATTGTTTACTTAGTATCCTAGTGTGATTTATGTTCATTGCTTATTTAGTATCCATGACTACCACTAAGTGTTGTATCTAATGTTTTATGATGAATGTATTTTACAATGACTATGTTAATGATCTATCACTATTGTTGTATTTACATTGAGAGCTTATGCACCAGAAACAAATTTCTTGTGGGTATAATCACACTTGGTTATTCTATTCTATTCTATTCTATTCTATTCTATTCTATTCTATTCTATTCTATTCTATTCTATTCTATTCTATTCTATTCTATTCTATTCTATTCTATTCTATTCTTCTTTGTAGATGTGTGAGAATATTTACAAAGCAAGTTACAAAATAATAAAAATTATCATGTAGCCGTATTAGTAGTTTTAGCATTCTTGAATGATTTCCTATTATAATAATGCAAACATTATTTTAGAAACAAAATTATTTTATTATTAACCGTGACTGGGAAGATGCAGCTTACAAATACAAACTTACTATCATTTCAGTAAATGTTTCAATTTCTTTCAGTGATAAATGCTGGGAAAAAGATAAAGCATTTTAACTGTTGCAAAATAGTTCTAATCTTTATTCCAAGTCGTATCTCTTTAGTATAGAATTTAACAGGGTTAGGCAGTGCCTTCCAAAGGGGCACTTTTTACAAAAAGCTGTGCCTAAGGAAGTGAAGTAGCTGGGTGGTATATGTAGTATATGCCTGGAAACAACCATGAGAGCCCTGAAAAAGATATGGTTGCTTTAACAACTTCAAGAGATTGTGAAGGATCTCCTTCAGACTTGGAATTTAATTTTCCAAAGGCAAAATTTAACTGATGCTTACTATGGTCAGCCCCATCATCCTGTGCTGGCATTTCCATTGTTGTTACAATCCCTGCACTATGAAGCCACATAGTTATCATGAAATTACTGGATAAATCCTGTGTGCTACAGAAGAACCATGCTGGGTTTGTCCTAAAGGGCAAAAATCCAAATGACTTGTGTTACACTGCATTGGACTACAGTTTTACTCTTTCAACCTATATTAAACTGAAATTTTAATCTGTTTCATGGGATTTTGTGAAGAACACATTAAGACAACTTATTACATTTCATACTAGTGATCTTGAAGATACTGTCTTCCAATTTGAATTAACTTCGATTTAAAAACGTGAACTGATTGAAGAGTATAAAATCTTATAAAGGGTAAATGAACATATCCCACTAGTAATAAGTGAATGCACTTTGTTTCAGATAAACAGTTCCAACAAACCTCATATTTATGCTGCAACAAGGTAAGCAATTGAATTCACATCAGTTTTGTAAGCTGTGTATAAGTATCAGTAACCACCTTTGCTCAGTCTTGGTTTTTCATTTCCTACAAGCATAGAAACCTCTCAATGTATGAATGATAGATGGAAATATTTAGTTTATCTTCATTTTAGCTACTGTTATATTTTAGAATATCGCTCATTGTAGGAAAGTTTTAAGAGTTTCCATTTCTTAAAACTCCTGATATGAATAGTTTGATATTGTCATAACAGGACTGCAAGAGAAAATAAATTAACTCTAATAAAAAATGGTAATGTCTGGAATACGTGTTTGTTTCCCTAACTCTTGTGTTAAAAGAATAAACTGTAAATATGACTGTTAGAAAATATTAAGACTACATTTTAAACATGTTTAACATCACTTATGTTTAATGAGTTTCTAAGCCAAAGCTTTGCAAAGTTTTCCTTCTTTCTTTTAATTCATTTGAAGAAATTCAGTGAGGGATACTGTTGTATTTAAGGATGCAACAAAGTAGTACAGTAGTCTTTAGTATAGTTATATTTCTCCTGAGACAAGAAAATGAAAAAATAACAACTGACTTACTGGCATCTAGTGGTGGAATGAGAGACAACCCATTTCTCACATTTCTGTTGCTAATGTTCTCAACCCCAGAAATAAAAATTAAAGTGATTGCTTTTATGTTGCAGTTTACGCTGTTCCATGCTGAAGTTTTTTAATTCATGCAGAATTCCGCTTTGAATTTAGCATACATGTTTTCTGTGGCTGTTTTCACAATGACCAATTACACAATGAAGAGCAGAGTTAGTGTTAACAATCATGTGGAAGACAGAATTTAAGAAAGCATGCAGGATCCCAAAATATGTCTATTTTTCAAACCTATGCTATACAGGAGGCATAACAGCCGCTTTTTACATTTGCCATTTCTTTTATTATTTTATTTGAAGGCAGACAAAAAGAAAGCAACAATACTAGCACAGAAGCAACTCACTTTAGGTCAGGATCCAACCGAGAGTCAATAACCACTAGCAGGCAACACACTATTTCTTTCTGACTAGTCCTTTAGAAGTTGCTCACCACCTGAGAATATTTTAATACAAAACACAAGATACACTTTTGCACACTTATTTCTGCCAAGTACTTTTAAGTAGCTTCAATTTCGGTTGAAAATTAAGCAGACAGTGATAGTAGCAGAATTTATCTTGACCTAAAATGTGCCTGCAATTCACTCGGAATATTTAAAATAATCAAGGCTTATTATTAAATACTTGGCAAGGTTACTGATACTTAAAGCCACATTGCTACAGTCACCCTTTAAAGGAGCTGTAAATTTTGGATATAACAGTATTATAATATTATATAATATAATATATAATATTATAATTATAATATTATAATCCAGACAGCATCCCAAAATAACCTGTCTATTAGTTTCTGGGAAGGCTGTCTGAACAGTAGGACATGTTTTCTCAAGTTTCAGACATGAGTAAGAGGCATCCCTAAATCCCTCTTACAACTCTCTTACTTTCTGAGTAAGAGGAAAGGAATGAAAGTGCTGATTTGATAGGCAGCACTCTGGGGAACCGTAAGTAGTGAGTTAAGGGGAGCAAGTAAGATGGCCTGAGTAGGAAGTGGCTGAGAGAGGCAGGTAGCAGAAAGCCCATCATGTGGGTCACTGTGGTATGCAGTGGGACAGCAGATGGAAAAGCAGGAGACTCTGGCTTGCAGCCCCAACAATGCTTCCTTGCTGAGAGCAGTTAGAAAAGCAGGACTGATAAAACTTCCTTAAGTCTGGCAACAAAAATGGTGTTCCTTAGAGAATTTGTCATCAAAAGCTTGTTCCTTGAAAAAGTGTTTTTTCACTGTAATTGACCTCCAGGAAGGGAACAAAGACAGATAGAAGTGTGATGGAAATGGCTTTCCATAAACAAACCATTAAATTGTGTGAAGAAGAAGTACAAACTTCATTTGGCATTGGAATGAGGAAAACATTTTTTTAAAAATGGAGGTTGTAATAAAAAGATTTAGAAACACAGTACTGCATCAGGAAAATAAATCAATAAATATTGCACTGTATTCTCTCAATGTATTTTAGAGATGTAGAAAAATACCACATACCACATATTTTATTTAGAGATTTAATTTATATATCACAAATACTGCTTTTAATATAAGTACAATATAATACAGTTGTATTTATGTAACTGCTGGTGTTCACCCTGTATTATGAACTGAATGGCATGCTGTGCTGTCAAAATTTTACTAAAATGGCCTCTAGTTAAACTTTTCCAAAGTATAAAATCATGCAAAATCTACATCCTATATAATACAACCAGTACAGTAATTGAAGCCAGTATTCTACTGATAGCCTTGGCTATCTTTTGAATTTCTTCTTGCAGTGTCCATGAGTCAGCCATCATTTTCTTGCAGAAGTAGCGATTTCTGTTTTGTCAGTGGCATCCCACCTCAACTTTTGAAATCGGTGACAGTGTGCACAGTTATTGGCCAAAAGTCTTCATTACCCGATGCAGTTCAGACTGCAGAGTTAGTCCACTGAGAAGTCATGGTTAGGAAGCTTTACGTTTTCCTCCTGTGACTACTGGTCTTGCGTATTCCACAAAATCATCTATTAGGACTGGCCACGCTCCTGAAGAGGAATTAAACAATTCTGAATAAAGGCTCTGAATATTTACAGCAATCTGACCTTATAGTAATCTGTACCTCTTGGAGGACGTGGTGGTGATATGTCTTAACCTAAAGTTATTAGTCAATTACTTCCCCATTTCTATTCTTCCCAAAGCAGGTGAGTCCAGTCAACAGGAATAGGGGAAGAGAATGGCTGAAAGCTCAGTCCTCTTCCTCATATTATTTAGCAACTACATAAAAGTGCTAGAAGTCATTTGTTAGTTGTGGACACATACCATCAAAATCCTAGTGAACACAAATATACATCTCTCAGCTGGATTATATAAGAGATGCAATAGATGTCTTGTCTTGGTACTGGAGGCTGGTCAAAAAAGGATCAAGATGAATCCCAGTAAGGTGGAATCACTATTCAGAAATTATAAACCTTTTTAAAAGCTCCAACTTTGGCTCTGGATAAGGTGACTCTCCCCTTAAAAGAGCAGGCCTTGATCTAAAGGTTCTCTTAGGCTTGTGGTTGTATTCTGTCACAGTGTCTTCCCTTTGGCATACCAGACCCTTAAGATTAAATTGATCCCAACCCTGCTGATGTTCCAAAAAGCATGAGACTTTGACTCCCCATTTCTACGCATGTGGAATCAAGAAATTACCAGGAGCTCTTGAGATATTCTTATTTTATTAGATTTATTTTTAACTTAATGTTCATCGTGATTTTTTTTAGTTTGCATGGTATTTTTATTTATTGCTAGGTCCCTAGAATCACTATGGCAAGATGGGCAGCCCTATAAATCTAAATCTATAAAATTAAAGCATCTTGTTCATGGGAAAATATTAATAATAATCTGACAGAAAGACTTTTAACACCTAATATAAATACAGTGTACTTAGCTACATTTTAGAATCACAATTCTTTGCAGTACATACATATATCCATACATACAATAAACAAGAAAATATTGGTTAAGAAATTGAAATTTAACTTGTATTCACCAAGTCACTAAAATCAATGGAACCCATATTAATCCCGCTGATTATAATGTGAGGGTTAGCAACGGCAAGATGTGGCCTATCACCCATAATCATCTGGCCCACTGTCCCAAAAAGAAATATATTTACCTGACATGCAACAGAGGAGGGAGTGTTTGCCACCTCTTGAACAGCCATTTTGGTGACATCTTCACCAGCCACCTCAGCACAGGAGGAACAGTGAAAGTAGCAATGGAGAAGAAGGTTGCCAACCCCTTTGTTACATTCCAAACATTGCTAATAGTTAAAGGTAGAATATTTAAAGACAATATTTCAAAATAATTATATTTAAACTTGCATATATACATCACTTGCCTTCTTCATCATAGTTTGACATATCATCTGCAATCATATTTCCAAAGTCTAAAAGAAGGTTCCAAGTATCCTTAGGGATTGATCTTTTATGATGCTCCTATGTAAGAAAAAGAATCTAATATGAATTCAATTTATATTTTTATAGATTTAGTAAAATCTTTACTGAGAAGATACTGACTAAAATTATTAGAGTAGGAGACTGAAATAAATCAAGATGTAGTAATTGAACAAATTACAGTAAAAATTACTGTAAAACATCAACTTTATGTACCCCAATCAAAGGAATTTTGTGATCGACAAAATCTATTATCTATTTGATAGATAAAATCTATTTGAAATTTACCCATAATGGAAAAAATATGAAGTTTTCAAAGCAGCTTGCACAACTGATGCAAATAATCTTAATTATGTAATTACATAAATAACACATTGGTGAGTTGCCCCTAATTTGCTGTCAATAAGCTCCAACGCACAAACCTTCTTCCCATATGGTCTGTTAAACTGAATTTATTATACTCCTATTCGGAACTTGCACAAACACACATGGAATAATCCTGTAGGGTACTTACCAATAAAAATTTATTCCAAAGATCTAAAAATTTAAATCTTCCTGATAACACTAAATTCCAATATGCAATTGCCATTTCTAGATCTGAAAGACATAAATGTAATTTACAATCCACATTAGTTGTTATTACAGTTTTCCACATCCCCACCTATGAAAGAAAATATCTGGCTTTATGTTATATATGGCGCAAAAATTCAGTACAGGAAGTTCTTGACTTACGACCACCATTGAGCCCAAAATTTATGATGCTAAGCGAGACAGTTGTTAAGTGAATCACTGGAACTGTTAAGTTAGTAACACATGCACTGAATCTGGCTTCCCTATTGATTTTGCTTGTCAGGTCACAAAACATGATCACATGACCCCAGGATATTGCAATCATCATAAATACAAACTAGTTGCCATCCAAATTTTGATCACTTGACCATGGAGATGCTGTAACAGTTGTAAGTGTGAAAAATTGTCATAAGTCATATTTTTAGTGCTATGTAACTTTACCAAATCACCAAGCAAATGATTGTAAGTCAAGGTCTACCTGTAATTCTATAGATTTTAAGTTACATTTTTTAAAAACACAGTTTGTGCCTGTACAAATTCTAAGCCATTTTAAAGTTTAAAAATAAATACTTACGCATAAGGCCTGCAAATATGGAATGGGTCTAATGAGGTCTAAGGCCTCACTTGTCCAATCATGCTGTACATTAGATATGTGATATACAAAATGCCACTCTTCCTTGTTATTATGCTATGACATTTTAGCTTCAACAACATTTCACTTTATCCATGCAAATTATCAACACTTTTACTATAGCCAAAAGATAGCTCCCAAGTTGTAATGTTGAATGTGACAGAAAGAGAAATTATTAAATTCATGGAAAATAAACACATTCATTTCAACTATCACAGAATAGTTTTTCTCCTGTCTTACCTCATTTTCTATTCTACTATAAACATCCTTTTTTACACAATAGTCCAATATATGTTTACTCAGCAGAATGTAAGTAAAAGAGTACACAGAGTTCTAATATTATATTGAAATATGTCAGAATTACCATATTTTTCTCACTGTAAGACTCTCCGGACCATAAGACGCACCTAGTTTTTGGGTAGGAAAACAAGAAAAAAAAAATCTGCCTCTGCCTCCCAGCAATTTGCCTCCTTGCAGCAAATAGCCTGGTCAGCTTCAGCACTGCCTGATTTAGCACGAGCAGCTGATTGGCGATTAGATCAGCCTCCTGGAATACCGGCAATCAGCTGTTCCAGGCTGCGGGGATCGCCACCGCCCATTGCCGCCTCCACACGGCCCATTTTCGGCCTCTGTGCACCCCATTTTTGCCCCCTTTCAGGTGGCAGGGATGTGCAGAGTCTGAAAATGGGGCGTGCAGAGGCGGCAGCAGTGATGGGCGGTGGCGATCCCCGCAGCCTGGAACAGTTGATCAGCGGTATTCCAGGAGGCCAATCCAACCACCAATCAGCTGCTCGTGTTAAATCAGGCAGTGCTGAAGCTGATCAGGCTGTTTGCTGCAAGGAGACAAATTGTTGGGAGGTAGAGACCGAAGGGTGGGGGCTGGCAGGTGGGCAGAGCTTCAGCAACATTTGCTCTATAAGATGCAGACATTTCCACCCCCTTTTTTGGGGGGGGGGGAAGGGTGTCTTATAGATCAACTAATACAGTATTTGTCAGAGGATACCATTGATACAGATCATTTTTTATTATTCTCAAGATTAAAATAATTTTATGGAAATAGAATTTGGATCTGTCAATATGAATGAAACAAATATTTTCATATTTATGCTAATGTTTTCCATAAATGCATATATTGCAGTGAAGCTTACTTGAAAATACATTATTAATTTCTATTAATGATTTTAAATGCAATAGAAAAAACAATTACAAATTAAACTCACAAAAAGAAAAAGAATAAAATGTGAATAAAAGAAAGAAGTAAAATAATAATAATAAAAAGAAATATGTAAAGAAGTGACTTCCAATCTTCATTAGAAGGAAAAATAAATTTAATAACTCATCACCCTTTATAAATTTACAAATATGTATTTCTTCTTCCTATAATCCATCCCTTCTATATGCAAAACATAAAACATCAACTTTTTAGTTCTGGTGTCAGCAAAAAGTCCATTACAGTTTTACCAGAATTTTATAAAAATAAATCAGAGCTTTATTTTAACCTTGATCAAACAATTCAGCTTTATATTCCTCTCTTTTACTTCTAACAATCTTGATCTTTGATTCATTCAGATGTTGTATGTCTTTTTCCTATCAGAAAGACTTCTTTGAGGCTTTCACAGATCTGTTTGTAAATCCAGTGGAAAGTCATTATCCAGGGTCATTGTCTTGGTTTGTCTTTTGCATTTCCCTTTTGATTTTTCAAAGCCTTAACTAGCTTCTTTTGTAGATCTAATAAAAAGTCATTATCAGGGTTGTTCTCATAGTTTATCTCTATTTTATAATCCACACTTTTCCTGTCATTTGTATTTCCAATTTGCATCTCTTGTCTGTTTTGTATTCCACACTTTTTAAATCCATTATTTCTGATTCCACTATTACTTATCAATTTTTTTCACGTGTCATTACTTCATCAACATCTTTTAGACAAACTCAATCCTTAGAAGCAGACTTCATTAACTGCTATTGTCACTACTAATTTTTGGCCCCATATTTCAAATATCTCTTTTAATTATTATAGTATTTTGTATCATTTTGTAAATGACAATCTTAAAGGCAACTTTTTTCTTTCTTTTTTTCCTGAACTTTTATCCTGTCTGATATCTAATTTAAATCAAAAGGTCTATTATCTTTGTTATGACTGGAAGTAGTCGAAATAATTCTAGTTCTCTTGAAAATCCATTTATTTCAAATTGTTTAGATTCTCAACTTGAGTTAACTTTTCTTTTGTTTAGAAATAAACTCACCAGGTGACTTTTTAGACTGAAAATGTCTTAAAATATTTCAATAAGCAATTTCCAAATGTGATTAGAAGCAAGGTTAGCAAATTTAATGTCCTTAAGGGTGCCAGCTGTGCTCGTGAGCTTGATGATTAATTCCTTCGTTTCTTGGCAATCAAACCCATTAGAGACCACTATCTTGCAGTCTCCTCATAAGGACAAACCATCCAAATCACAAATGAGTGATCTCCAGTCTTCTTATCTGGACAGGTTCCAAAGAACTGGTCTACTCACCGGTTCTTTGGTCTTTGCTGTGGTTGTTATCTTCAGTCTCCACAGAGATGTGTTTAGCTTGCCATGCCTCCACTGGAAGTTGACAATATATAATCCTTCATTAAAAAAATAAATAAAACTACACCTATTGAGACAGCTTTTTGTCCCCAACTCTATCAGTGGAAAGTATGCACAAAACAGAATAGGCATTCAAGTATAAATATCTGTGTCTCTGAATAGAAATTATATTGACAATAAGCTCCTGAGTGAAAGAAGGAATATAAATTTAATTAATAAATAAATGACAGATAGCCCACACCAATAAAAACAAATCAGTGGAACATCTGAAAATCTTAAGAGTAAATACTTGCTTGAGTATGAACTTTTTTTTAAAAAAAATTAAACGCATTATCAAATAACATGCCAACCAAAGACAGGACAAATTTGAGGATTCTGTTTTAATAAATTATAGTGTACAGTGAATAAGCATGGAGCCTTGCACAGGTATGCCCATCTTTTCTCCATATTTTGATACTTTAAATATCTCAGACAAAAAATAAGTTCAATTTGCACATTTATTCCAAACGTAAATCATTAAACAGCTACATAAACCTTCAGCTTAAGGAAATAAAAAGTATCAAAATGCGCAGCCAAAGAAATATGACAACATTGACTTAAAACATGGCGTATTAAACCAGAAGTTTTAAATCTGAATCAAGTCTACAATAAAAAATACACATAACAGGAATAACTATTTCCTTTACATATACTGGACAGTATTTTTTTGTTTTGTTTATAAAAGTGGGAAAAATAGTTTTGGCAATCATCACTATGCAACTGTCTGCATAAATTTCCAAGGATCACTCAGTCCCTAAAATAGGCTGTAGATTTGTTCTAGTTATAAAATATATAATACTAATGTCCATGTCATTAGTATGGTCAAAGCTTAATGGCATCTATGGTAAAATATTAGATATGTATTGAGGTACCACACTAAGGAAATACCCTTATTGTATTATAACATTGTAACCATTTGTCTTGTAAATCTACAAATGATTACCCTCCTAGAAGATTCTCCATGCACAATGATGACTATTCTGTACTCACTTCACTTGATATATCATTTGTTCAGAAGGTAAACAATGGTATTATAATATTATATATAATGTTACATGCTTTCCTTTAATCAATGAATTCCAAAAACTCTAAGCAACTTCTAAATTCTAGAACTTTCCTGTAGGAATCTACAAAGTGATATGCTAAATAAATTTTAATTTTAACTTAAGTTTACTGTAAGTAATTTGTGGAATAAAACAATGAGAATGAATCTAAAAGCAATGGATGACAATTCTTCCTAATTTACCAAGTCAACTCCAAGCAGCTAAAAAAAACCCAAAATAAGATTACAAAAACAGATTTCAAAAATACCTACTTAGAGTCTTTCCTGTTATCACATTTTGTTGTGAAGCAATATGACAACAATACTGTAATTTGTTTTGTATATACACGCATGTTCAGTGTAAAATTGAAGTATTTTCTTCCCAAAATAGCATGTGGTATCTTTCTATACCTTTTGCATGGCATTCACAACCCATATATGTCTCTAAAAGATAAGGCTAGCATTCCTTTGGTGCATTAGATTATTTTAAAACAGGACCTGAGTTTTGAAAGTTAGCTCCAATTTCTGTCATAGCTACTGTTCCTAATGCAATGTTTGTACACATTAAATAAAAACAAAACCAGACTAGCTTTATCCTTGTCAGTCACAGTGGTTTTCAACTTTGCTTAATCTGTCTATGATATATTTCTTTTATCAAGTATAACCATTTACATATAATACTATGTAGAACATAGCTGCCTTAACACAGGACTGGACAGTTCGAGGACCTGAAAACGGAAACATTTAACACAGCCTCTGAACATTTAACATTTAAACACATTTAATTCATAAATGTGCGAAGAAAAGATAAAAATTAAACTATTCCGACCATATGGCATCACAGCATATAAAACTACTAAAACCCTCCAAAACATCCTAAGTAAACCAAAAAAACCAGCAGCTCCAGAAGAAAAAGGAGTAATTTACAACCCACAGTGCAAGGACTATGTAGGACAAATAGGCAGAAGACTACAGAGCTCATCCAGTAACAGCAACTAGCAATTAGAAGACATAATAAAAACTCCTTAATTTCACAATATATGATCAGATTTAATCAAAATTTCAATTGGAAAACCGCAAACATCTAGACCAGGGGTGTCAAACTCAAGGCCCGGGAGCCACCTAGGAAATAGCAAAGGACTGGCCTGCGGTGCCTCTGCCAGCAAAAATGAAGCTTAGGAGGGCTGTGTGCGGCTCTCCCGAGCTCCGTTTTTGCTGGCAGAGGGTTGCAGGAGGCAGTCGCAGCTAAAAATGCAACTTGAAAGCCTGTTTTCAATGGCAGAGCGCTCGGGCCACCACAGGCGCCCCTACACAAGTGACATCGAGCTGGCCATGCCCACTTCAGCCCCCGAGATCAAATAAAACCCTGCTACAGCCCTCAATGAAATTGAGTTTGACATCCCTGATCTAGACCAAATCAAGTCCAAAAATGCCAAAGAGTTCCTGAAGTTTGGTACACAGAAAATCAGCCATCAACAGGCACATAGAAATAAACAACATCTAAAAGGACATTCAAAAGAAACAATAAACAAAAAGGAAACAAAAAGACCTAAACACCTCATCAGCAATCAACACCAGATCACCAGATCAGCAGAAATTAACACCAAGATTAATACTAGACCAACGATCAAAAGCAAACAATATCCCAATCCAGAAATTACCAACTCAGACAAACAAGATAACAGTAAATAATAGCCTAATCAAGGAATCACCAAGACCACTCCCACTAACACTGACAGGGCAAGCTTTTATAAAATAAGAACAAACTCACTCTCTTCTAGCACCGATGATTGTTATCTAATTTGATAATGAAATATCTGCAAGAAAACAACCAAGTTCAGAGAGCACTAAGGACCCTATAGACGATAAAAAGCTATTCATCCTTGCCTCAGCCAAAGGGGCCAATGAAATAAAAACTGAAACAAATACTTTTATATTGGAAAAACTGTAGAAGAGACAAAGAAAAGTCATCAGAAACTGCTGGAATGGACAAACGTATCTTTGAGATGTAGCAACTTAGATTTATATACAACATGTATGCTAATTTAGTATGAGAGACCAGGAAGAGAAAGAATACTGTAAAAGAAACTCATTCTGGAACAAAACATCATAAAAGTTCACATTTTGATTGAACATCCTAAATTCTACTTTGCAGAATTGCCAAAAGAACTGAGATTTTAAAAACTATTGTAAAAATAATGGCTAACATATTGATTTCTACTTAAGAATAAACTGTAATGTACTATCCCATTATCAAGATATTTTGTCATATTTTTCAAATAATAATGTGACATCTGTTATTCAAAACATGCAAGCTAAACCATTCACTTAGCTATGGATTACAATAATCTTCCCTTCCCTGCCAACCTGAATATCTTGCTTAAAAAAAATCTACTAGTGAGTCTCACCTAAGCTTTCATTTTGTTAAAAGGCTATTATAAAATCTCTTATTATTGAAAACACAATAACTTTAAAAAACTCACCTAAACCTTTTTGCCCAGGGTTTTTAGCAAAGTTAAAAGTAAACTGATAAAAATCTTTAAACTTCATTGGATCCTTTAATTCTTGTTCCAGTCTTGGCAAAAGAGATTTTAGCTTGTCTGTGGTATCACACCTGGTAAAAAGATGCTACTTTTCAGTTTATCCAGTATCAATTGTATTGTTTTAGAATTTTGAAATATAAATATAAAACTTATATTTATTCAAAAAATGCAAAATGGTAATCTACAAGAAATAGTTCCATTTTAAGACTAATTCAATTGATGTTAATGTAACAAACATATTATTCCATAATATTTCATTCAGCTGGTGCTACAGAAATAAATATCTAAAGTACATATTCATTTTGTATTGCATATAGAGTGATTTTGCAAATAATAGGCAGCTATAACCAGTGCAGTAAAATAAAGGCCTTTTACCCTAACCAGGGTTAAAATATGGTGTAAGGGCATTTAGATGAGAACAATAAATATGATAAAGGTGTAGCACTCTCTTCTGCTAACGTATTTCTCTACAATCTCATTTCCTGTAATTTAACTTGAACTATTGTGTTATGCTATTTTTCTGTCAATAGTTACATAAAGTAGATTAATTATCTATGTAAAATGGAAAACAGTAATTCTTAACTAAGAAATCATCATCATACAAAAAAATCACCATAAGCAGCTGTTGATAAAATGTACTATCCATTCTCCACTTACTGTACTTCTGATAAAGTCCAATTTCAGTGAGCAGTAAACAAGACTTTCTAGTAAGCAATGTGGGCAAAAATCACATCCTTATGATCATCATTAATATTATTTAAATTTAATTACTAGTATATTTTATTGTAGGGGACATGGTGGCTCAGTGGCTAAGACGCTGACCTTGTCGATTGAAAGGTCGGCAGTTCAGTGGTTCGAATCCCTAGTGCTGCATAATGGGGTGAGCTCCCGTTACTTGTCCCAGCTTCTGCCAACCAGCAGTTCAAAAGCACGTAAAAAATGCAAGTAGAAAAATAGGGACCGTCTTTGGTGGGAAGGTAACAGTGTTCCGTGCGCCTTTGGCATTTAGTCATGCCGGCAACATGACCACGGAGACGTCTTTGGACAGCGCTGGCTCTTCAGCTTTGAAATGGAAATGAGCACCGCCCCCCCCAGAGTTGGGAATGACTAGCACATATGAGGGAAACTTTTACCTTACCTATACTTTATTTTTAGGTGCACAAGCAAGTCATATTGGAGTTTTATAATATTTGTTCAGTATTGTCTTATACAGGTACTTCTCAACTTACAACCATTCCTCTAGTGACTGTTCAAGTTAAAGTTAAAACAGCCCTGAAAAATGGCTTACAACCCATCCTAGCATTTACAATCATTGCAGGATCCCATGGTCCCATGATAAAAATTCTGGCGCTTGGCAAGTATTTATGACAGTTGCAGTGTCCCAGGGCTGTAGGGTCACCATTTGTGACCTTCCCAATTGGCTTCTGATAAGCAAAGTCAACAGGGGAATCAGGATTCGCTTAACAATTGCATGAATCAATTAACAACCACTGTGATTCACTTAACAATTGTGGCTAAAATTGGGTATGACTCGCTTAACAACGGTCTTACTTAGCAACAGAAATTCTGGTTCTAATTGTGGTCATAAGTTGAAGATTAGATATTTGATCTGTATATGAACTGCTTGTCCTTCTAGGATTGTAAATGAATTGCAGCTTTTTGCACAGGTGTAAGATAACAATTAAGCATTTGCCGGCAAATTTAAATCAGCTCTAATTTTATTTAAACAACGGGTAAGTGGTTAGGTGACATCAACATAGGTACAATCCATGGTGATTATGGAAAAACACCTGCCATCACAATCTGAGAATCTATAGGTCTTTTAAGGCACTCCTAATTCTTCATGACATTTATTGTTCTTTTCTGCTACTTTGCTCAACCTTCTCAGGCACAGTTGTTTTTACTAGTTTATTGACATGACATTCTAAGTATGTAAGATTTTTTTTAGTGAGCATTGTTTAATGGAGACAGTCTTTGTTTAGTCCACTGGATGCCGTTTCCTTTGTCTTCTTCAAATTTAACATTTGCCATTTTTTTCACTTTTCTTAGTGAAAGTTCCCTAGAAACTGTTATCTTTCATCTAGTATTTTGCTATAGTACTGTAGTTTGGATGAATATATTTTTGTAAATCCATCTTTCCATCCTGAGTGGGCATGTGCAACTGTAGTGCTACACTTTTTGTGTTCAACTACTGTCTGGTAAATGTTCAATGACCCTTGCTCATTTTTATTTCAATTTAATGCCATTTTTATGACTAAAGTCAGAGCATTGCACCAATTAAACAGATACAGGATCAATATATTTCTATGTCATTTCTTCTTGTTTTTGGACAATTCTACTTCTCCAAATATTCCAAATTAAGATTTTTATTGTAGCTTCTTATTCTGTGAAAAAGGAACTGCGAAGATTCCTTGGAAGAATGATAGAATATTTTGACAGAGCTAATAACCTTAATATTGTGCACATTCTGCACAAAGGGCTCATTATATTCAATAAAACACAGGTAAAGCTTATAAATTTGCTTGCTCTCCCTATTTACACTGTATATGATCTTACATCCCTCGGCCTCTTTAGACACTAGAAAGGTGATTGGAATTATGAAGTTGGAGGAGCTGTTCCCTTGCCATGGTAGAACCACTTCCCATTGAAATTTAGAGTTACAGCAACTATTCCTTTCTCTGGGGAAACACTAGGATAGTCCTCCTTGGAATGAATAGATCCCAACTGATTCCAGAAAACTCTAGCACTTCTAGCTAATATGATGGATGCTCCCGACAAAGGTCTTGATTATTATGTAAAATGTAGATGTGACTTGAGCAGTTGACACAATAAGCAATTTGGAAGGCCGTTGTAATATAGATTACAACTGCCTTCCAAATAGTAAAAAAAAAATAACACAAAATCTGATTAAATACTACTAAGAGCTCATTATTAAAATCTACTATATGGCAGGGAGGGAAGTGAAGAACCTGAATTTCTCCGAGTGGTTTGGGTATTACTAAGAATAGCCTAGCATAAAGTTGCATAGAATCCTTAGTAATACATTGTGGTATGTTGGCTTTGAGGATAAAATCAATTATCTTATACTTAAGACTCAGCATTTCTGGCAGTTCAATTTATAAAAGTCTTTTTTATGATTTTCATTTGTTAAATTCTGATGACAAAATGATTGATAGAGATTGACCTCTCACTTGATTTTAGTTATTACAGCTTATTATATTTGGCAGGATGGGAGTGTTTGGGTGAAAGGTATAAGCTACTTAAGATACGTCAAATATTTTGTCATATTGTAGCGTATTTGCATTTTAGAAGTAACATTTGTCGGATACTTTTCACTCTGCATCTCCTTTTATGTTTTTGTCTTTTTTTAAAAAAAATAAAGTTGAATTTCACCAATGAAGGAGTGGGCCTTCATTCATAAAGACTATGATGAAAAAATTCAGATCCAGATCCGAATAAGTATAGCCTTCTCAATTCTTTTATCTTCCCTAAGGTTTAACATCTGCATTAATCTGTTCAGCAAGGTCATTCAGTAATTTAGAGTAAAATATTATGCTACTTACATACAACCCTCTTTTTTTTTCATAAAATCCAGTGAAAAAACAAAATGTTGTGCTTCGCCAAAGTAAATGAATTAGATGACAATCAAGAAAGCTCAATCCAGACATAGAGATGCTACTGATAGGTGGTTTATTTGTCTAGGTGAGTTATGTACAGCCTATTCCAAGAGATTGCAAATCTTCCTAATTTGAAAGAAGTCTATATCAATCTTTGACATTAAAGACATAAATGTCATCTGTGAATGGAGTATCTTTTCTTGGATTAAGTTACTGGGTGAGTTATAGTGATATTTTGTCACAGACGGTTTAATTTATGCCCTGATCATTTTTATGTAAATTACTACAATGTGTTTTATACGAGGCTAATCTTCAAAATGGGCCAAAAACTACAGTTAGTATAGTTTAGTATTAAATAGTTCAGCAACAGTATAAATTGGAACTAGCACTACAGTATGAAAGTACACTTATCTTACATGGTTACTGGCAGCTCCAGTTTGCTCGTAATTCAAGGTATTAGTAAAAATTTGTATAACTTTTCATAGTTTGGCACCATAATGCCTGAAATAATAGTATTAATTATATGTTCCCATTCATCATCTGAGATCATCTTCAGGGATTCTGCTCTAGATGGGTCACTGCAAATGGCCATACAATTAAACCGGATGTCAAGTGCCCAAAATGTGATCCCATGACCACTTTGGAAGTGGGCATAATTTCAAAAATGTGTTGCAATTAGCTTTGGGAGCATCCATTGTAAACTGAGACTATCTGTACAGGTAGTCCTCGATTTAAGACACCTGAGCCCAAAATTTCTGTTGTTAAATGAGACATTTGTTAAGTGAACTTTGCCCCATTTTGTTACATTTCTTGCCACAGTTGTCTTTATTTCTTGCTTCGTCATTGACTTTGCTTGTCAGAAGGTTGCAAAAGGTCATCACATGACCTTGGGACACAGTAACGGTCATAAATATGAACGGCCAAGCATCTGAATTTTGATCACATGATCATGGGGACGCTGCAAAGCTTGTAACTGTGAAAAACTATCCTGTCATTTTTTTCAGTGGCATTGTAACTTTGAGCGGTCATTAAATGAACTGTTGTATTTCAAAGACTACCTGTACTTGGTTATCACTGAAATCAATTAAACTTATATTAATAGTGTATTCCACAATATTTGTCTTTTAATCTCATCAAATAGCAAGATTGCTGCTCTCAGAACTGCCTGCCTTCAACAAGACCACTTAAAAAAAATAACTTTCAGTTGAAAGAAATAGTGAGTTAATTACTTAAAAAGCGCTCCAATTGAATTCAAAATATGGTTTGTGGGCGGGAATAAATACATTCAGAACTGAGGAACTGAATTATTCTTTACCTATTTTAAGATGTTTATGCACTCTTAATAAACCATAGGCTTATGTCAAAACTTTTTACAGTCCTTGCATAATTAATTAGGCAAGTTACTGTTACATTTTAATGCCACAAGCATGCTTTAGATACCTGCATAATTCTTTGTATATTTCATATAATTGAATTTTTAACCAATTTGACAAAATCAGTTTTGATATAAACTATTTTGAAAAAATGGAATTCTGACAAAAACTGTTATACTCACCCCAGCTCTGTCATGCCATCTACAAATTCTTTTTTACTGAATTCACACTGAGTCGCTGCCCGGAATTTCCATGCTATGACCAAAACACTGATACTAGCAGGGTCCAGATTTAAATCGTCACAAAATTGCTGAATTCCATCAATGCCAATTTTATTGTCATCCTGTGGGTCTGTTATTTGAAACAAAACAGGGTGTTATATTTTACATTAAAGATGTGTAATTTTTTCCATAATCATACAATGTTATTCTGATTTTTAAAACTAAATCTTTATAGTTTCAACTCTTACTGCCTAAAAAATATAATCATATAAATCAGGTCAAAAAGGGAGTTAGTGGTGATCTGTATACATTGAAAGGTTCGTTTCATTTAAAATTGTAGTAATTATAGCAACAGTATTGATATTTAAAGCACAACTGTCCAATGTAAAAACCTATAGGATGTGGTTTTCTTCAAATATGAGCAAGTAAATTTAGATGAGAAATATATATTACATTTTGCTAAAATGAAAAGCCAAAAAATTGAGACTGATTAGGGTTTAGAATCACAGTTGTTGAAATTCTAACACCCTATTATTTCAATAAAAAGTTCCTGCTATTTTAAGCAACATAGGTCTCAAGGGGGTTGATAGGCAGACTTCTGTTCCTCCATGTCACATCATCATTCTTTAGACACCAGCAGCTAAAAAAAGGCACCTCTTTGCACATGCTACACTTCTAAAATATTTTTTGTTTATCCAAGTAGAGCCTTGTATTGAACGCTGCCACAGATTGTCAAATCAATTTCCCCACTAAAAATAAAAACAAAAATAAAAGTTCTATTCTCCCAGAGAAAATAGCTAAACTATTAGAAAGTGTTCCTACTTCAGTTCACATATTTTGCCTTCCACCTTTTATGTGGCAAATAGGTAAAAAAGGTGATGCTTTTTTTTTCAGCACACATCACTGCATGCTTAACCTAACTACAGGTAGTCCTCAACGTACAATGCTTTGTTTAGTGACCATGCTTTGTTTAGTTACGACACACTGAAAAAAGTGAATTATGAGAGTTTTTCACATTTACGACCACTTCAACAACCTCATACACGATCAAAATTTGGATGCTTGGCAACTGGTTCATCTGACGACTGAAGTGTCCCAGGGTCATGTGATCACTTTTTGTGAGCTTCTGACAAGCAAAGTCAATGGGGAAACTAGATTCATTTAACAACCATGTTACTAATTTAATAACTGCAGTGATTCACTTAACAACTGTGACAAGAAAGTTTATAAAATGGGTCAAAACTTAACAACTATCTCGCTTAGCACCAGAAATTTTGGGCTCAATTGTGGTTGTAAGCTGAGTGCTAGCTGTACTGCAGCTGAAATTAGCAAGAATTTTCAAGTTATATGGTAGCTATTCCAATATCAATTGTTGTAATTATTTTAACTATTTCATATAAGCATCTTTGGGGTAGCCATTTCCATCACCACTAATCACTTGCACTTCTCTCTCTGCACTTGAAGTGCTGATAATTATGTAAAGCTTCAAAATGTTACTTATTTGGGGCAAAGGAAATAAAGCATTCGCTTAAATGTTAGATATCCAGGTAAGGCAGAATGTGCCTGACTACCTTTTGTCTCAAAACAATCAGAGTAGCCATGTGCTTATACGAAAAGGTCTTAACAACATTTTCAAATATTCTACTCCCATGCTAATCAACAAGGAATGAAATTTCATGGCACTGAAATTTTAAAGAATAGCAAATTGCAAGATGTAATTGGCAGGAGATGGCTTAAAATGCAAAGAAAACCATTTGCAACGCTCTGAGAAAACAGTTTTGTTAAAATAATACACTAACAAATACACCAAAGCATTAGTTAAGGGTAAACATCTAGACATATTATTTCATTATGCTCAATGACCTGCAAGATAAAAGCAGACCAAGCGTAGCAAACGCAATGTGTCAATCATATGTGACCTAAAAAGTTATGATGGATTAAGTGGATTAAGTAAAAAAATAAATATAATGTAAAATTTGAGAATAAACTAAACTAAAATATATAATTTAGTAATGCCACTACTCCAAATTTAGGCCATTTTACGCCTTTTTACAAAAACTGCTGTAGGTAATTTAATAATTCTATTGATGATAGAAACATTCTGCTCTGAGAATAAGAAAGGAACAATCTCTCCCTCATAACAGATTTCATTTTTGTTAGGGTATGTTAAAGATGTACCAAATTACTGTAGAAATAGGAAAGGAAAATTCTATGACTTAGGGTCTCGGGTTCATTCAGACCACAAAGACAGTTTCTTTTGGTGAATGGAATCCTGCTGTACACTTCTAACCTGATACTATAGAGGGTAAAGTGTTGAAATGAGGCAAAGAAAAAACCATACATCTTATTGGTGAAGCAAGATTGAATAAATAGGTTGTGTTGGAACCAGCACTGAGAATTGGCTACAATTAATACCCAAATCCTCTTGCCATGCAATGTCAAAATTCCTTTACAGGATTGAAATTTAGCTCTAAATCTAGGAAAAGCAAAGAAAAGTGAGAAAGGCTGCAATAGCCTGGACCAACTACAATTTTTATTTTCTACCTTGATAAATGTTTTCAAACAGAATTAATAGAGCCAACGAATCAGCGCTAAACAAAAGTTTAAGCTAGTAGGAGAGTGAGCAAATGTGCCTCTAATGAGAACATAACAGTTTCTGGTGAGGAGTAAAGTACTTGAGACATAACAAGGGATGTTATAAAAACTTACATTGGACTATGTCAAAGGGCCTTGAATCATTAAAGGCGCATATCTGTGTAGCACATGATATTTAAGATAGAGTTTTAGTTTTAAAAGAAAATGTACATCTACCCATTTATTTATTTGACTTTTATCCTGCCTTTATTACCCTATAAATAACTCAATATGGTGGAATATACATAATACTCTTTAGTCTTCCTATTTTCTCCACAAAAGCCTGTGAAGTAGGTTGGGTCAAGAGGGAGCAACTAGCCCCAAATCACCCAGCTGGCTTTCGTGCCTAAGGTGAGACTACAACTCGCAGTCTCCTGATGTCTAAGCCAGTACCTTAACTATTACAACAAACTGGGAAAAACCGGATTGCTTTGACAGGATTGTTAGCTTTGGCAGACACCGAGTCTAATTTGTTTTCATTTTCTATTCACAGAATTCACCTATTAGCACAACTTTCCTACAGTCCATCAGTGTTCTTTCCAATCCTCTACCATCAAACACAGAAACACATATATATGAAGTGCCTTTATGAAGTTTGATATTAATGCTTTTTTAAAAAATATATCTTACTAAAGAACTAAATTTACTAATACTAGAGGAGTTGCGCGTTGAGGAGTTGAGTTAAAAAACGAGGACAACTCAAAATATTATGACGTATGGGGTATTTGGTATCACTGGTTGAACAATAAGACGAAAACATGACTATAGAATTTGACTTGGCACATGTATTATAGTTGTATTGTATAAAATAATGTATAGTTAAGGATGAAGTCTTTTTTTAACTTTTGTTTCACTATATTGTATAAACTCTGCACCTCCGAAAGGAAAGATAGATTGTATATTTTCTTTTTTTGTTTTAGAAAACTCAATAAAGTATTTAAAAAAAAAAAATTACTAATACTAATGAACACATTCTCATTACTTTTATCTTCTTATTGGAGTTTTAAGATTGTAATTTACCCACCGGTAGAAAGTAATATTCATCCCTTCCCACTTATTCCATCTCCAAATCAATTTCAGAGTAACAGGACTTTCCAGAGCAGATATAATACACATGGAAGGAAAGGCAGAGGAAGGAAAGCCAAAAGAAGCTTGTTTTTAGATATTTGATAAAAATTAAATAAAATACAGCCTTTATGATTTATTTTCTCAGAAATATGCTTGAAAATTCAATCTAATAGAAAAGAACTAGAATCACAAACAAGGATTATTACTAATTCAAAAAGATAACTGTAGGTGTGTAACATACAGTAGGGTTTTTCCCCCACTTTTTATATACAGGTAGTCCTCGATTTACAACAATTGAGGCCCAAATTTCTGTTGCTAAGACACATTTGTTAAGTGAGTTTTGTCCCATTTTATGACCCTTCTCACCACAGTTATTTATTTATTTATTGGTTCATTTATATGCCGCACTTATTAAATGAATCACTGCAGTTAAGTTAGTTACATAGTTGTTAAGTGAATCTGGCTTCCCCATCAACTTTGATTGTCAGAAGGTTGCAAAATATGATCACATGACCCTGGGATGCTGCAATCATCACAAATATAAGTCAGTTGCCAAGCATCTGAATTTTGATCATGTGACCTTAGGGATGCTGCAATGGTCTTAAGTATAAAAAATGGTCATGTCACTTTTTTTCAGTGCTACTGAACTTTAAATGGTCACTAAATGAACAGTTGTAAGTCAAGGACTACCTGTACCTCCTCCCCCATTTGAATATGAAAAATACTGATAGGACTAAACATAGAGAACTCATAATTGATGATTTATGCACAGCAGTCATACAAGGATTAAAAAAGAAACATAATAAAATTATTATTTGTCACAAAATGTATAGCTGTATAGCTCAATAACTGAGGGATATCCCAGAATGGAGTGAAATAATCATTAATTTAATAACCCCGCACCAACCTGAGGCTGCGGTGCAACTGAAAAATTAAGGCATTTTCTTGTTTACTGACTTGCTATACACCCCCCCCCTCCAAAAAAAATTAAAGGAAAGGAAATAAAGAACTCGCTATAAATATTCCATTATACAGGTACAGTTTTGATAATAGTAAATAAATCACACCTTCTCTGTTTTTTTTAACAAATACCCCTGTTGAATAAAGAAAATTTGTTTAACACAGAAATTGATCGAGCACAAGGGAAGAAATAAACAATATTTGGAAACGATCATATTTGTGGATTTGATTTTTTTTAATGCAGCAAGGAAACAAGGGATCTTAATTCAGGAATTAAGATACCGTAACAACAGTGACATCTGTTAGGTATGAAGCACCATGGGCAAAGTACAAACAAAAACTTCTTAATTAAAAAGACAGAATCTTTTTTTTTAGAAAGTTAGGTATTTGCATAGTTACCAAAAATATGCCTGTGCAATAATATACAACAGAGCTAAAAGAGTATTCAAAGTATTTCATTATTTATTCATCTTATTTATAATCTGCTTCTCTTCATGGAGCTTAGAATCCTATGTATGGTTACCTCTCATTTTATTGTCACAAACTTGTGAAATAGACAGGGCAGAGAAAAACTGCCCTATAATCACCCCATCAATACAATAATTTATTATAGTTCATGACCAGCACATATTAAAAAATACAAAAATTCCATTTATGATTTGTTCCTTGTAACCACTTTACTGTCTCTGAGATAAGTAGATTGTTTTCTAAAATGTTTGCAGCAATATGAATTCAAAAGCAGAATTAACAAAGGAGTTTCAATAAAGTTTTCAACCTCAGAGACATTTTTATAGTCAAACATAATTCCTTATTTCCATAAAAGAAATTATTCATCCATAAAAGAAATTATTCATTTTTTTTACCTGGACTAGATCTTTAAAAGAGAATACTTATTAACAAACAAATTTATCTTTACCTAAATTAAGAAAAATTATAAATAGATCCTTGCTGGATCCAGTCTGGTAGAATGCTGTACATTAACTCTTTCAGCAATGCTTTCAGTGGAACGTACTGCTCAATCTTAACAACAATGCACATATGGACATTATATCTTTGGGAATATTCAATAAAAACAGGATAACAAGTTTAAGCTGCATTCATATTTTCAGAATCCAATTTAAGCTTGCAGGTGGTCTAGAACAGGAGACGGAATACAATAATATAATTTAATTATACCAGTGTGATAATGCAGATCCTACATAGAATAGTTCACATCTACCCCATACATATGGTTAGTCTGCTCTCCTTAACGTATAGATAGTTCTTGATTCACAGCAGTTCAATTAGTAATTGTTTGAAGTTACAACAGCACTGAAAAAAGTGTCTCAGGATTGTTTTTCACATTTACAACTGTTGCAGCATCTATATTGTCACGTGATCAAAATTCAGAAGCTTGGCAACTGGCTCATATTTATAATGGTCACAATGTTTTGGGGTCATGTGATCACCTTATGTGACCTTCTGCCAAGCAAACTCAATGGTGAAGCCAGATTCACTAAATAATTGTGTGAGGAACTTAACAACTGCAGTGATTCACTTAACATCTATGGGAAGAAAGGTTGTATAATGGGGCAAAACCCACTTAGCAACAGAATTTTTTGTTTCAAACGTGGTTGTAAGTTGAGGACTACCTATATGAGTGCCCAGATGTTTATATATTTTAAATTAAAACTTCTTTACATGTGTTTTCTTTAAAAAGAGAAACAGCTTTGCATTTAATAAATTATACTGTCTAAACACACATACACACACTTACATATACAACAATAGAGTAGTATCACTCTACTCAGGTTTATAGTTTAATACTATTCATGCGTACCTAGAACTAAGTCCCACTATATTCAGTAGGGCTAACTTCTTAGTAAATAAGAAGTAGCTAATATACTATACCTAGTATATTAGTAAATATACTAGAACTGTAGTTCCTTTTCCCCTGAACGTCTAAACTGAAGTGGAAATCAAGCTCAAAGGAAAAAGTGAAGAAATAAACCTTACCTTTGTACCTGTTATACAAGTGCTCTAATTTCTTTCTGTCTATTGAAATTTTCATGGATTCTTTGTAGTACAAGTCTGGATTCTGGAAGTAGTTGTCTGTTGCCACTTCTAGTTTCCATTCATTCTGCATTAAGCAGTATATAGCAGTCCTTTCACCAGCCTGGGTAACTGCCATAAACTGGCGGACCTTGTCCTTCTGAGCCGATTTAAGTTTATGCTTTGGGATGCAAAAGAAGCAGGAAAGCCAATGAAGCTAATCCAGATGGGTTTTTTTTTCAGAATTTTACTAAAACTGCCTGTCTTTAAAAAAAAATGTATTCTTTTTTTTTGAATAACATTTCATTCCAGAAAAAAACAAATATATTTTATTTCATTATAGTAAAAGTATAATTTTCTTCTAAAAACTGAAAAAATAACTGAACACATATATTTTTAACACAAAAATTAAAAATCATTTCAGTCTTAACTTTATGTCTCTAGGTTTCAATGTAAAAAGACACAACTTTTTACACAGTGGCTTTCCATTAAATGCATAAAACATTAAGTGAAAGAATCTTTATCATGATAAACCTACAGTAAATAACCTAAAGTATCTCATTCTTAATATAATATGAATATGTGATTATACTGTGATAAATTCAGAAGTTTAAATCTGGAAATGTATACACAATTACTTGTGCCTTATTCTGAGGATTACACATTAGTTGCCATATAAGTGGTCCTGCCAGTAAAGAAAAAGCTATTTCAGGAGTAAGCCCTTCATAAATATTGCTTTACATTATTAAAAGTAACATTTTTAAAATATGCCCTATAAAAACACAGCCAAGATAAAATGTCAATGTATAATTTTATACAAAATTTCAATGTAGGTTTTGATGGCATTTCTGAGCAGTAGGGCCCTAAAATATCCCTCAGTAAGATTATTACACACTTTAAGAAGATCCTTTAGCAAAGAACGTCCCTCTACAAACAAATCACTTTAGAGTTAAGAAAATGAACAAGTTTCAAGCATAACTTGGCCTACATATATATGTATTCTTCAAATCAAACCTTTATTGTCAATGCACAACATGTGTAGAATGAAATTTAGAAGTGAATTTAGAAATGAATTTAGACTTCATTTCTGAGTCTAAATAAATTGCATAAAAGAAGTGATCTTGATACAGGTATGTTAAAAAAAGACATCCTAATAAAACGAAGGTCCTAGTTTCTGTATTTGCCATAAGATTTAAATCTTTTTAAGTTCTTTTTTCGCTTAGCTTTAAGAATGCACGTTTTCTTCTCCCTCTAGCTTTCCTAATTCTCTTTAAGAGTGAAAAGGGAGGGGGAAGAGTCAAAACGGCTCGCAAGACATCCGAATGTTAAGTTTAAAAGAGGAGGAGGAGGAGTTGCAATTCCAGGTGTTAAAATGAAGCTTTGCTCCCGAATAGGGACCTTCTTTTCAATTTTGTTCTCCATCAAAGAGGCCACTCACCTCAAGGGATGTCAGGGAAAGAAAAGTGGCAAGGGGGGGGGGGCAAGGAGAAGGTTGGGGACTACAATAGCGAAGGTCCTATTTCACCGTGTGGAAAGGAAAAGGGAAAATGCAACGAAATAACCCCTTGAGAGAGAGAGATGGGGGGAGAGTGGGGGCTCCTTCCTCCCTTGAGGGGAGGGGGCTTTCCCTGGGCCTATATAAGCTTTCCTTTTAAGCCAGCTCCTGAGAGAACAGGTGAGGATCCCTGGGGCATCCACGGGGTAGGGGTGGAGAGGGAAGAAGCTCGGCCGGTCTATGAAGGGCGAAAGGAAAGACAAAAGTCTGGGCCAGGGGAACCGAGAGCAGGGTCGGTCGGCCGGCAGCCACCTGCCAGCGTCTCCCCTGCCCAAAAAAAGGGAAAGGTACGTGGCGAGGGTGGCGGTGCCTTCCCTGCCTAGCTTGGGGCTCCTTCCCCACGCAGCCCTGCCGCCGCGTTGCGTCCCGCCGCGCAACTCCCACAGCCCTGCGCGCCCGTTGCCCCCTCCCTCCCTCGCGAGCTCCCCATGACGCGGGCGGGCGGGCGGGGGTCGTCCGGAGTGGAAGGGCGCCCGCCGCTCTGCCCTTTGCCGGCGGGCGGAGGCGACTCTGCTCATCCCGCGGGAGGAGCCTGCCTCGCCGCCGCCTCCTCCTCCTCCCTGAGCGCGCGCGCTGAGGTGGGTGGGGGGTCGTTCCAGGCGGGGAAATCCACCCGGTTCCCCCCCACCTACCATTTTTATCAGCAGGGCTTTCACCCAACTTCACTCGCCAGCGCGGCCGCTGCCGCCGCTGTTACCGCCGCCGCCGCCAGTACAGCTTCTTTCTGCGCACGCGCGGGTCTTCTTTCCCTTTAGCCTTCTCTTCCTCTCCTCCTCCTCCTCCTCCCCGAGTTCGCGGGCTTCAACTGCCGGGCATCGTCCGCCCGGCGTGGTTCAAGAAACCCCCTGCCGTCCCACCTCACCCCACCCCGCTCCTCTTTTTACTCTCGCTCCCGCTTCACAACTACTTCGACCTGGTGGATGCGAAGGAGAGTCACCCGGGCACAGCCAGAGCTAGAACTACGTTACCCATGAGGCCCTCTGGCCTAACCCTCTGGTCGCATAGATTTATGGATAGACTTGTGCGCAGCCTGCAGCTTCCGATTTAATTTTATACAATTGTAGGGCAGGAAACAACGTAAAACTCGGCAGTTTAATTCTTTTTTTTGTTTTGATTTATATGCCGCCCTTCTCCGGAGACTCAGGGCGGCTTACAATGCGTTAAGCAATAGCCTTCATACTTTTGTATATTTATACAAAGTCAGCTTATTGCCTCCACAAACTGGGTCCTCAATTTACCCACCTTAGAAAGGATGGAAGGCTGAGTCAACCTTGAGCCTGGTGAGATTCGAACTTACAGTAATTGCAGACAGCTGGTGTTAATCACAATGCTTTCAGTCTGCTGAGCCACCAGGCCCACAATTCAGTTGTGACTGGACAGAAATACATGCTTTCTTCACCCAACCATGTCTATTGGTTGTGGTGGCTCCCCCTCGCCGCCTCTGGATTCCGTTCAGCGCTAGAATTAGGCTGGCCGAGGATGTCTGGAAGGACTTATATGGAAACTGCATATAACGTTATCTCACCTTTTTTTGCTGCTACTTGGATGAAAGCAAAATTTACATTTTGGAATTTTCCCTCGTTTGTGAGGGCAACTTTCTCTTTTCCGTGCCTGAAAAGAAACCTGGGGGGGGGGAAAAAATCTCCACTCTAACTTTCCTACTTCTATATTACCGGACTAATGGTGTCGCTTCCCACACTTTCCCCTTCACTACATTTCCCACAACGCACCGCAGCCAGAGGCCAGGAAACTACAACTCCCAGAAGGCGCAAAAGCCGGGTAAGCGAGGCAGACGGCGGGCTAGGGTGGGCCGGAGTTGTGCCCCCTCCCCCGCCCGCCTCGCGTGGCCCTCAGCAACTCGCAGGGCGGCTGAGCGTGGGCTCGGCTGTGAAGGGCGGCGCCGTTCAACCGCCGTCCGCACCGATGGGGGAGGGCTGAGGGAGCACCATTGGGCACCTGAGAGAGAGGCAGGAGCAGGGCGGGGAGCGATGGGGACGTGGCTCGGACTCTCCTGGCTGGGGCGATGCCGCCCGTCCGTCGGCGGAGCCGGGGGAAGGAGGAGGAGGAGGAGAGGGGCGAATACAGCGGTAGGTCGGATTGGAGGGGTTGAAGAAAGGTGAGGGGGCGGTGGCACCGTCAGGGTGTTTCTAGGGCAGGGAGAGAGGTCGGAGTGGGTTTTTACTCTGGTTTTAATTGGGAGAGTGGAAACAGGCCCAGGAACCCTTAAACCCAGCCAGCTTTGCTGGCTGGGGAATTCTGGGAGTTGAAGTCCTCCAGGCTTACAGTGGCCAAGGTTGGAGACCCCTGCCTTAAACGACCCTCTCTTTTCCTTCCTCTTATTTTTCGGTAGAAATTGGCAAAGAGCTGCCGTTTTTTTCCCTCCCTTCAAATATGCCCTGGAAAGGAAAAGGAGGCTTTTCTAACCTGGTTTTTTGTTTGAACCTGAACCTACCAGGACGCTGGTGATAAGCCTACCCTCAAATAATACAATGGGGGTTTCATTGCAGCACCTTTGCTCCCATTCAGCGGGCTTGGGGGGGAGGTAGGAGGAAATGCCTCCTGAGCAGCCTTTTTCTCCCTGTGGTGTTTTTTCAGGTATGTGGGTCAAACAGTGATTATCCTCCTCAAACTCTGCTGGCTTTGGGGGGGGGGTGGAAGCCCACTAAAAGGCACCAGGATGGGAGAGGCTGATTTTAGGTCTTACCCATGCTTCTGTGCTATATTGTCCTTTGCATAAATTGTCTTTCTTATAGGCCGTCAATATTAAAAAGACAAGTTGGTAACCTTAAATGATTCTTGAAATGAGCTATATAGAAATGTATGTACACCTACCAATTCCTCTCCGTTTGCTTTAACTCAGTGGTTTCCAACCTTTTTTTTGGCCATGCCCCACCTAAGCATCTCTAAAATCCTGATTCCCCCCCCCTCTAATTCTTACTATTCAAAAAGTGAACTCCTACTCACGTGGAGGAAGCTTAAAAGGTCATTAACTTGGTTTAAACAAGGTTTCAATTGCCCCCATTAAAAATCAAATTGCCCCCCTGTGGGGCGTTGGGAACCACTGCTTTAACTGGTGTTCTAATTAACATTTCAAAAATGCCATTTGTAATATAATGGATTTATTGCTTCAACATCTATAGTAATACCTTAAGCTTAGATCTGGACTCTGTTAAACAAATAACAATGCAAGCAGCGATCAAAGTTAATTAACAGCAGCTGACAATCCATAATTTTGATAAGTCACAGCCCAGTTTACTTTTTTTCCCCAGTGTTTGCAAGATTAGTAGTGAGGATGGTTAAGAATTGTGATCTTGCTTGAAGATGGTCTTTTCTGTCAATGTTGAAAATGCATTACAAGAGTATATATAATGTATAATTGGTTATGAACTAAAAAAAATATATCCTAGCTATGAACTAAAAGGCTAACAAATGTGTATTCTAGAAGTACCAAAAATGGCTGGAATATACATATTTACTGTCACTATGGGAACAGGATAGTAGATGGGCAGAAGGCAACATCAGCAATAGGAGAGGATAAAATTTGGACTGCACATTGTAGCTGTGCTACTGAAGATTGTAGGATGAAAACAGGCTAAAAATGCTGTAGAACAAGAAGATCTTGAAGGCATTGTCTCTGGTTTGACAAATATAAAGAAGGAAACTTTTAAGCAGAAATGTGAACTGTTCTAGTAAAAAAACCCACCCAACTGATAAAGGAAGGCAAGAACAGGGTAAGAAAAAGAAATATGACAAGTTAATATGAAATAGTTGGATAGGATAAGAACATGATAGGGTAACGGCTATAGGGAATTTAAATGCAAGAACTATACAATTTAAATTAAAGTGTATATGTGTATTGATCTTAAATATTTTACATATGGGGATTGGGGTACTTTTGGAATTTTGAGAATATGCTGTGCATTCATAATGAGGAATTATGAGTCTTGCCTACTAACTTTATGGCTATAATAGTGAACATTTCCCATGATGAGATTGCTTCACACTGTATCCTCCCCGCCAGCCTAAAAATAGTCCTTATCATTCCATTTCACTTATGTTTTGCACACAGATCTGGCCAGGTGGGCACATTTCTGAACAAAGCAGAGTAATCCACCATTTTTGATTTTCCAAGTAAGCCTGCTGGGCTTAGAAGCATTTTAAATAACAAATACGATATTAAAGCCCGGTGATCCGCTTTGTAGTATGCCAACTTCTCATTTAATTTTATTTCAATAAAGGTTTTTTTAAAAAATACCAAGAGAAGTGAGGTAGTGCGGGGAGATGTATACAGGTATTATAGAGGGTTGCTTAGAGAGGGCTGTAAAAGCACTATGAAGCGGTATATAAGTCTAAGTGCTATTGCTAGTGCTATTATGTACTTATGGTACTCTAAAATAATGTGAGGGCAGAATAAGATTTGGAAAAAAAATCAGGAAGAGCTTATCCTAGAAGCCCAGGAATGGGGAAAATACTGTTTTTAGATATCAAGGGTTATGTTCCATTTGTGTAATCAGTTAATTGTGGGTAAGGCTAGAGCTAAAATTCATTGTGACTGGATCCAGAAGCGGCAACACCCTTTTTTGTTTGTTTTAGCTCTTATACTTAGTTTGCAAAAGAATATTTATAGTTGGAAAAGATATATTGGAAAGTGGAAGTGAAGGAAAAACAATATGAGAGAAACAGAAAAGGAGAAATGAGAACCCTGTGGGAATGGCAGAAAGAAGTGAGGAGGGAATCTTATATAAGAGGATAAATTTTTAGTAAGGAACATTAAGAATATGAGAATATGTAAAGGAATATTATCCCTTTTTAAAGAAAACTTTGAATTTTAATTATTGTAAAAAATAACCATTTTACTTTTATTGTTTTAAAATACAGCACTGGTACTGTCAGTTATCTACATAAGAAGAAGCAAGCATATCTAGGCGAAAAGAGATTAGGATATTCTTCAGTTCAGTTCAACCTTTCAGTTTTGAAAGATGTTAACAAGTGTTACGTTTTGGACCAAAACCAGGGAAAGAAAGAAGGTATTTCCAATGCAAATGAATTTAAATGTGAACAAAGAAGAACCTAACCTAATTTATCCTCACGTTTGCCAACATTTGAATTCATATTTAATTCAGAGATCCTACAGTGTGTTATAGAGAAACACTCATTAAGTGGTCTTACTGTATGCATATTTGAAATGCAAAAGACTTACGACAGAAAGTTTGACATATTTTCTAAGTGGCATTCCACAGCCTGTAATAATAACTGGACAATGAGTGTAACTGGATTTATTTCACTATGGGTACTGG